ATATAGTGTTTGCATTCATGTGTACATCGCTTCTTCGTGCCAGAGACATTTGAGGAATTCCCAGTTACGAGAGCTTAATATGGCTTTTAATTGTTCCTTCCCGATGCTACTACTTAGCAATAAATCTGCCATATTACTAACACAAATTCATTGTTCAGGTAGATTAAAGATAGGACAATTTAATAAAATAAAATGTGGGACTTTCCCTCTAAGGCCGATCTATTTGTATCTCTAGTATCTTCAAAGTGCGCCTCGTTATTTATATAGTTCAAGTTCCTATTAACGTATATTATGTTAAATTCAAATTCACCTACATTTTCTTCTGGTTGCCTGCCGCGCAGAGTTCATTAAGAGATTTGTTGGCATCAACTGCTATCGATCACTTTTCAAGACCGTCATCGTTGGATAAGTTGTGCCTTTACCCCCATCTGCCAGTCATACTTACGTTTTCTACATGCATTGACCATTCAGTCACTCTACATAACATAATTAGCACTCATAGGAAACATGACAAGCTGGTACCGCCAGTCAATACGTGACCGAAAAGCCGGTTAAATAAAAATAAAATTTAAAAAAGGCCCCAAATACTGAGACAACATGACTGCGCCTCAGACCGGCCATTTTAAATAATGCCATCTTTCTTTCTCCTGCCTTTTCAACCTCCCTCTACCAGTTCCACTTCGAAGGACTGCCATGAGAGATACCCCCCCCCCCCTTCCCACGACAAATACTGCGTGAACGGAGGCACTTTCCTCTAGTGAAGATTCAACGGATAAGAAGATACCATCCATATGGGCCACGTAGTTCACTTTACAATGGGTGGAAACGCCGAATCTGTTGATCGAACAGCACTATCAATTGCAACTGGGCTGTGTCCAATTCCTTCGGCTATCTAAGTAAATATCTTCATTCAACGCCTTAATAGTTCCTTCTAGTCGCTAGCTGAGAAATGCTTGCCAAGAAGCTTCATCATGCCGAACATCCGAATTCGTTTTTGGCCAAAAACCTTCTGCAGCTGCGCATCAAGGATGGCGAACTGGCGGTTTTTCGGATCTAACAGGTCACGCTCCTTAACTATTGCATACATCTTTTTGACGACTTCGTTGCGTGCCATATGGTCTTCGCCCATTACCTCCGCAAGATCTGCAGACAGTTTAAGCTTTTTGAGGTAGCCCGTCGTTTTCCCACCTTTTCCGCCCGCAGCGCTACCTCCGCCACCTCCCGCTGGCTTACGGCCTTTGGCGGAGCCATTCGAGGTTCGCTTCTTCTTTTTATGCCCATCGTCCTGCGACAATCATTTGCGACAAAAACAATAAATAAAAAAAAGTTAACGTCACTTAATGCCCATGTATTTAGCGTCGACAGCTCTAAACTCAACGAAAGGAAAACTGCATAAATTACATGCAAAATACGCTTAATATATCGAAAAGTATATTTTACCCTAGTTTGCCCGATAATGTATTAAAAAAATGGAATACATGTAAATAAAAGAAATGAATGTCCAATAATTATATCCCGCGATGACGAGAGTTATAAAAATGCGTTGTCATCGGTGATAGACGCACCGAATCATCGTCATAGTCGTCATCACCATCATCCTCGTCAGACTCAGAGTCTTTCGGTCGCTTCTTTGTCGTCGCCTTACGCGCCCGTTTCTTTGAGCTCTCGTCGTCATCCGATTGATCTGACTGTTCCGAATTCTCCTGATTCTTCTCGGCAGCTTCGGTCAGCGCATCCATGAGGATCTTATCAATTTCCTGTTTGCGGTCAGAGAAATCGTAGTTGAACGTTTCGTTGAGGTGCTCGCGCACTTTCTTTTTGTTGATCGTCGTGAGGTCTGCACCAGCAAGAAATCCTGAAAGTGCGAAAACAAAAAATAACAACAGCCATCAAGTAATAAAATCTATGCACCAGAAAACTGAATTAGAATTGCTTCGGGGAACTCGAAGAAATCGCATGCTGTTGATGATAGGGCGACTTTTGTGGTATTGTAAATAAAACGATGTAAAAATTCAGATTTCAAAATGTGAGGACCCGTATCTATAATAAGAAAAAATGTAACGGTTGCAACAGAAAAGCCTGATTTAAAAGTTCAGCCTAACAGAGAATAAGTATCGATTATTGATTGTTACACGACCCGAACACGTGAATCAAATTTGTTTAACGATATTCTACGGGTAACTTGTCCTGAAAGCATATGGAACACCGTTTAAGAAGCTTTTTAGAAAATTAATATAAAAAAAAACAGTTAATTACGTAAACACCTAAATGTACACAAAATCTACCTATGGTAACTGGAGCCTTGTAGAACAAATACAGCAAATTACTAACTTACATTGCGAATTACTAAAGATTAACTTACACTAGTCTGAAACTTGACAAATAGGACTAGTATCATCTAGACCTGCTTTATTCGTAAAACTCGGCGCTATTGATTGCATGTGGGCATCCGACACAACTTCGGCGGCAAACAGTACCAAACATGGAAAGGTTTAGTAAAGCCGGCATATCTATCTGAAAATACACAAGCCTGCATTCCAACACAATTACTACCCTTAATGTGTTGAAACCGGACAAGATAATCGGCAGCAGTGACGCCAAAACAAAGTTTTCGGTACATGACTTTCTTGGCAACTCAAATCACACGTTGCACGATATAGCACACGAAAACAGCAAGTAAGCGCATCTCGCTTGCGCCTAACAAAACTCAATGAAGTCCTGCTAGATGTAAAGTCATTGTTCCGAAATGTGTTCTCGCTGAGCAAAAACAAATCAGCTTACCTACAGTACAGTGAATTTCGACGTTTTTAAGACCGCTTAATACTAGGAATTATACGAATCTTAATAACACAAATGCTCAAGGAATCTGCTGGATGCAGGAACTATGCTACCGTTTGAAAAACGCTTGCAGTATATGATACCCAAGCAAACATGTCAACCTCAGCTAGTGCTAGCTACTACCCCCCTGTCAGTCTGTCCGTAGCTTCGCGTCGTCAGCGCCACAGGGATAAGGCAGGAAGGACTCCTTCTAGACACACGCTAAAGGACTCGAGTTGTTATATTAAGTACTCGGCCGGGAAACCAAAATAGCTGGGGAAGTCTAAACCATAGCACGAATCCAGAAGCACGGGAGTCTCACAAACAATGATAGGAGACCCGGTCTCGGCGGCTGCGACCCTCACCTTCATCATCATCATATCATCACCTCGGTCATCACAGTATACAGCAGTAGCTTGAAAATGCTTATACCCACGCTTAGACCCTCTCTTAGTGAACTCGAGTAGCAGAAGATCAGGCGGCTCTCTGCTGGCCTCCTTAAATTTACTTTCCCTTCTTCAGTGTCTGTTTGTCCCTCCGTCCACCAATCGAGACTCAAGAAAAAGGGAAATGGACAAAAGGAACATCCTTTTCTCAGCCCAGTGCCAGAATAGAAGCAGAGGGAGCTGCCTTTTCTCTATTTCGTACTATATTTTGTATTATTCTGTGCGACACTATCGGCAATGCCACAATAGAGCTGAGACGGATCACGCCGCGACAAAGTACACCACTAAGAAAATCATGAAACCAATCGCTGTATCTATCAGGTGGCGCCTGTAACGCTGATCAGATGGGATAGCGTTTGTCGAGTAGGTTAAGCAGCGTAGACTACTACGGCCGTTAGTTGGCGCAGGTGCATTGCGCTACACGATGAATTTTGACATCTTTACTATTATCTAATATGAAACCATAAAAAAGACCACTTTAAGTAAAATCATTTACGATGACAACATTACCAATTCACAAAGTCGTCCTCATGAAGTTACGAAAATGTACTACATGTTGAAAATAACTATTTGGCCTTTGCTCTGTTTTATCGCATAGCACTGACCTCGTAATAGGCGTTGAGAAAGATTTCATCAAACAAAAATAACCACGGCGCGCAATGTCACTAAATAAAACTATCGATTAGTAGAAGTACAGCCTGGAATACGTTACTAGAACAATATCCCTAAATTGCCACGGTTATGCACAGCTAGCGAGTGTGACATCAAGAGGGCAGGCTTTTGGCTATTAATATACACCAACTGTTTACTAGTGGCTGCTAGGAGTATACGCGCCATGAACGATCGCCATGATAACGATTATTCGAAAGCAACAACAACTTAACAAAGGTAACTTAATAAAACAACAGGATGTTGCTACAGCGTCGCAGCAGCTCTTGTGGGGGTCAAGATGATCACGCAAAGTGATTATTACATGCAGCGCTTTAAATTTGAATATAAAACGTATTAAGCTGTCATTCAAAAACGTATTTATGTGAAAAATAATACCACTTTTAACCGTGACCTTGTACAGCCACTTTGTTATAAAATGTAAAACGGATATATATAAACACTGGTTGCACCCCATTTTGTTGAACGTAAATTTTCTACTGAATAGGCACTTAATCAGTTTGTGTTCCCAACAGACCCTCCAGTCTCTCGTCATGTTTTATTTAGCTTCGTTGAATCTACCGAAGTTTGCCACAGTTAACACTACTATCGCCAAACACTGAAACAAATATCGATGTATATATAAATATTCCTGCGATAACCACGGGAAGTAATAAATATTCCTTAAAACTAGACTTTCTTCGGGATTGAAGGCCTTCAAATGTTAAGAAAGCAACACTACCGAGATACCATTCAGTGGGATTTTGTCTAAACAGAGGTTTTTGGTTCTCTTTACTTGTCATCAGCGCTTTGCTCGTTTAGATTGTTTCTGTTTTATTTAACTCCAGTGACGGCACCTGCCCAGTGGACTACGACCGGTCTGTTCTAACCGGGCAAATCACGACATCGACGAAACTAATTACCAAAATATAACTGCCGCCCTCCGATCATCACCTGGAAAGAGCTGGAATCCATTGGAGCGCACTGAATTTGAGGTCAACTGTAGCGAAAAAATAATCACAAACCTTTAACGGCTTGGCAAAGTGCAGCGGTCGAGGTGTCAGCCATGTTGATCGGCGAAAAGTTCCTAACTGTTGTGATTACGAGCAGACGATACGAAGGACCGGAACACCAGACAAGAACACCGTTCTGTTGCTAGACGGGCAAACACACAGGCAACCGTGAGCGAGGGCTGGTTTGATTGTAACGCTTTGGTAGTGCTAGCTAACCGCGGAGTCCTCAAGAATAAACCGGCGAAAGAAGCGCGCGCAAAATTTTACGCCGGCTGCTGCCGGTCAGTGCTCAAACAACTAGCGACCAAAAGTGAAGTTCAATTAGCAAGCGTCATGTCTTCAATGCTAGCGGAACGCAGAACTCCAGTTGTTGACCCTGATTTAGTCAAACGGAACGCACGTAGAAATTAATAGTGGGACATGCTACTTTCGAAAAAGATGACAACGAGTATACTTTTACAAGTTGAATCAAGCATGTGTATAGAAGACGGTGAGAAAAACGACTTAAGGGCATTTTTCGAAGAGTTTTATACTACTGAAATTTTCCAGTTGTGAGCCTGGAGATAAGAAAACCAATTCTCTCAGATTTTTCCAAGGGTTCGAAAGCAGATAATTCGCTAGACATCCGCGAATTCGTACGATCGATGAGTGCGCACGCAGTAGCAATAGATCTTATTGCTGTTCGCAGGCAAATAAGCTAAAATCATGAATATGCCAGACTGAGGGATGTTCACGCAATTTACTAGCGATACTTTTTGTTGTTGGTCCATGATATAGTGAACAAATATTCTGCAGTTCTGCACTTGTTGCTTTACACCAATAATAAATAGAGACAAAGCATGTCATTCAACAAAAACAGGCGAAATTTACTGTAAAGTAAACTGGTATCATCTTCGCGCCATCATAGGAATGGTCAATCAAATGTTGGCAACCTAATTTATTAACGCTACGTTAGATCGAAAAGTCGCTCTAATAATAAGTTATTTGTTCGCTTATGGTTTTCTTAAAACGGCCTCTTTGCAAAAAGTAAATAGAACAAATTTTCTAGAGATAGCTCAAACATAATTACCGTATTTAAGCTACAAACGAGATCTAGATCTTCATCGGCTTAAATCGCGGCCTTTATATCTCGATGAGGCAATAGCTGATAAAGCCAAGTGTAACTTCAGCAGCAAGTTCTTTGTAACTTCCCGTCAGAGTAATGAAATCAGTGTATTCTATTTTTAATCAGGGGTTTATATTTTTATTACTTATCAATAAAAATTAATATAACTTCATGGTAAAGCTTAAATAAGTTGCTAATATTAATTACTCATTCGTATTGCTTTCCACAGACATGAACACATGCGTTACAGTACGTGTTTCATCGTAAAAAGTGTTTCTAACAAAAAATGGGTAATTAAGTCTGCACTGAAAGCGGTCACATTTGTCAATTTTATGAGAGGAGCGCATACACTTACCAGCTGGACAGTGAATGACTGAAGTATCGTCTAGTAATGACTTCAGAGTTTGCACTACCGAAAATCCCAGACCTTTCTCAGTCCTCGTAGCCGAGCTCTTGGCTGACAATTATAGCCGATGATATGATATGAGAACAAAGATTTAAGAGTATCAGTTTGCCAACCTCGTAGATTCCACGCTGCCATAATGAATATTAAATTACTAGTTTTCGCTTCGTTTTCTTGCCGGTTCAGAGCTCGTATAATAATTCTTACGTAGTTGAGAATAGGTCTAAATAAGGATTCGATTTACTTATTACTGCTATATATCTTTCCATATCTGACTTTTGGTCCAACGATGCGATTGATAAAAGGCACGGATCTGTTCGACGAGTCATGAGTGCTGAGTGAAGATTTTATAAATAGATAAGGGAGAAAATCGTTGTCAGCCTCGCAGATGGGTATTCCAGATGCGCCTGAAGATAAACATAACACTAAGTCCGCATCTACGAGCTAGCGATGTTGTAGTATTAACCGATCTAACGATTTCACTAAGGATGGCATAGTGATGTGATATTAGATGGTCGGCTGTCAATCCATCTGGAAGTGAATTCGTATTTTAGATGTGCATTTATTATCTACTCTATGTGGAATTGTCTCGCTCCGGGTTCGAACACTTAAAAAAACAACATGGGATTGGCTAATATGGAAGCGTTTCTATCTATGCGCCTAAATATGCACTACTAATTTTTTGGTTGTAATTTCTTTCTTATTTATTTCTATAACAAAAGTAAGCCTACTGAAGCTCTATCTTCTGCAGTCTATAATATATTCTACGGATAAATGTGGTCAGTAGGTTACTGATAGTATTCTCGGTCATTCGCTCCAAATCCTCCGAAGTGAGGCAGTACTCCATGGATAGCCCTTTGGTGACTTTCTATAGTGGACATTGTATTAATTCAAGCTTGAGCACATTTTGCATCAAAACTCAAAAGCGTTCACTATTGTCTATAGGGAACTGACACGTCGACTCACATGGATTAGTAAAATTTGTATCATAGAACTGACTGAATAAAAACGACGTCTCAATAACGACATTAATTACGCTCTTGTATCTCTTTATATATATTGTACATTTTACCAAACACCTTCGGTGACAGTCGCTTTATTTCTGTATCCAGTGAGAAACTATAGCAGCATGTCTTAAAGCGTAACGAATCTATATTTTGTAGACAAAGCCTTCAATAGGCTAATATTCTTGTTCTCGCTACTTCCGTCTTTCTGTGCACTTACTCTGTGCATCGATCGGCGTGTTGGTCATTGTTGGACTTGGTTGGCATGTGTCTCCTTGTATCTGCAATCGTGTTCCTCTCTGGGTTCTGTCTGCCGATATTGTTCCGTTTCAATCAACCGTTCCAAATTTTTAAGTAAAATAAAAAGATCCAAAAATTTCCATAAGTAAACGTTTGTTGCACATTACTTCTTTTTTTTGTTTGTTTGACAAGAACAAATTATCTGCACAGCTACGGGCGCTACTTAATCTGTGAATATGATCATTCAACATTAATATAAGAAGCAAACAAAAAATGTTCAGTAACATTTGATATTTATTATGAAAAGAGTTTAAATTAGCATTGGTTGGTGCTTTGTAACTCTTGATTAGAGCACTAGTATCGTAGGTCTATGCATTTAGATTTAAACAGCTGTCACAGCATTCAGCCCATATTTTTTCGATTTCCTTCACCGCGTCGGTGTTCATCTTTCCAGTCATCCCAGGCCCGTTGTCGCGCCAACTCTTCTGGATCTTCTCGCTCCATCTGCAAACAAAATATTCACGTAATACTAGTATCCACAACGAGTATGAATATATTGTTGCGTATGAGGTTGCATGATAACCAATATTAATATCCTACGAAGGTCGCGCGGTAATGCGATGACCCACCTTATTCTCTTTTTCTGCAGCCTCGTTTTCTATCTCCTGCTGGTTAGCCTCTGGGTTTTCGGCCCATCTCTGCAAGCTATGACCGCCACTAAAAGTTTAGCCACAAAAATATATGTGTAATTTATCCGTCAACCGGTCACGAGCATTCGTTGGGAGAAAATGAGTAAGAAGAAAATCTCAGTCGCGCTAAAAAAAATTGTGAAATAGCGAAACCAAGTTTGGCAGGGCTTTTTTGATTGACGCTTATTAGTAAAACGTATGGCCAGTTAACTCTGGTTTAGGACTAATATATATATATATATATATATATATATAGAACTGTTAAAGCTGTTTATCAAGCTGTACATCAAACAATCGTTATATACTTGTACTATTAGTCCAAAATCAAGCATCTATACGAGCCGTATTTGAACGTACATCAAAAAGGGTTCACGATTAGGCCAATTCTTGTATACTGAGCATCGATGAAATTGAATTCCAGAATATATTAGTTTTAACAAAATACCATACGTAATTGACATGCCTGACACTAAAGGCATTTTTGATTAGAGTGCCTTACGGGTATTTATTGCACAGAAATACTTGAATGTAGCGATAATAATCGCGATACTTACGGACAGTGGCTGTTCTCGCCGCTCTTTCCATCTTTGCCGTATTTCTGTTCGTAAAACTCATCGACGCTTAGTACCGGTAAGGACGGATAACCGGCGCCGTAGACCTGCAACCGAATACTTGTCTTCAGAATGACAATCAATTTGCTACGATGTAAGTGAATTTTATTACGTATCTGGTATGTACTAGATAGAAACACAAGCTTGATGACGCGACGCAATAAAGAGATTAAATAAGGATCATTCATTTTTCGAGCTATAGATAACTTCTAAAAATCCTATTTTTTCAGATCCAATTTTCGTATGGAAAGCTCATAAATAAATACGACAACTAAAAAATGATGATGAATACATTGGTTTTGCTAATTCGAGGAATTCATAGTCTGAATTAGCGAGTTCGATATGTTTACAAAACCGATCCAGATCTATTTAATGTCCTATTGATATCAAACTCACAACATCGACCTGATATAAGCCGGCAGTAATTATCAAGCTAATATAATAAACTGTGTCCCCAATCTCTTTCAGTGGTCACATAGTACAATCAATAAATTGTTGATCGCTTTATTCATCCTGAGCAAACAAAAAAAGTTTCTTACTTTTTTTTGTTCTGCCGTCTTCGTAATGATAAACGGTTTAAAGGGTCTCTTAGGCGCAGTTTCTTCCTTTGCTTTGGCGTCATTAGGCAGACTGCGTATGTGCTGCAAAATCGCTTTCTCTTGTTCGACAAGGGCTAGCTCATTGACAGCCTTCAAACACCACAATCGAACCAGCGAAAGGTAGTACTCACGAACTTCGTCCTCTGGAGTTGACGTTGCACCGTTCTTTTCAAGACTCTCCTCAAACTCGAGAACGATTGATTCTAACCGTTGTTGTTCTTTGTACCTGAAAAAGATATGGCTAAAATTATACATCTGTTTCTAAAAATCTAAGCCACAAAAAGCCGGAAAAGCTTAAGCTTATAAAATGGCTGCTAGCTTCTACCATGTCTTGTACAATAATATATAGCTAAAAGAAGCAACGGGCGGAAAAATCCGTAGCTATACAGTGAAGCGTATGCTATGATATATATTCTTAATAGCAAAAAAGTATAGTAATGTGCATAAACACTGACATTTCTAGTTCTCATGAATGAGTGTCTGAGGGACTACCTGGCTACCCTTTATAAAAAGCAAGTTTTTTTTCCAGCCACACTAAACTTTCAGTGCATTTATGAGAATATAATCTTGTTGCTTCCTGTTATAGATGGTAACTATACTGAAAAATCATATTCGACGAAACTAGTTATAGTTTTAGCTTTGTTAACCTCTCAATTTTGATGTTCCGCTGGTGTGCAGCATCTACGAGACTCCTGTCCGTTTTCTTTTGCTCCTCCACGTCCCCGTTTTTTTCCTCCCACTTTGTTATGCCGTACTCAGAACACCTCCTATAGACAATGAGTCAAACGTTCATAATGTATCGTTTGCTTATGATATCAGATGGAATTGAAAAGCGTTTATATAAGGTAGTTGTCGGCTACCATAATTAAAATGGTTAATATATAAAATTATCTAAATTATGTGTTAGAACTAATAAAGATTAATTTAAAAAAAATAATTATATTTCCACGAGAAATAAATATTGAGCTACGTTTGAATAGAGAATCTTCGCTATAACTAAATTTGAAATCATGAAACTAACTGAAAAGTAAACACATTTTGTCGATTAATATCTAGAATCAATAAAAGACACTTGTACATGTTACTCTTACTTAAGGAAGTCCTTGAAATAGATTTCGCTTTGGTTAATAAGTAGAAGCCTATCGTCCTTTTTGCGTGAACTGAACGAGGCCAAAAGTGCTGGTAACAGAAGAAACTTAAGTACTGGGGTCGCAATCTCCTCGAAGCTTTCGTTCACACTGAACAGGTGCAACTCGTTTACCTAAAACGGATTTGAATGATACAATAATAAAATGAGATAAATTGATTATTAATTTCCAATTTTATCGACTTATCGAAAAAAACTGACACTTCTTCACGAACAGCTACAATCTAAATTTAATCATTGCAGTTATTTCGCTTATAGACAGAACAAGTTGACGTGTTAAAAACAATCCATAGACAAAGCTTTTGTAATCGATATATGCTAGATTAGTGTTTTGTGACAGATTATAATTACGATATCTCAAGTCTATCTGCGTATAATAATAGATACGTACAAGTTCTGTACAGTGTTCTAGCTTTTCTATTGACTCCTTGACCAGCTGGTCATATTTGACGTCTTGCGGGGTAAGATGTTCAATCTCTTGGGCGGCGTTTAGTGCAAACTTAAACAAAACGTCCAAGGAGATTGTTTCTTGATTCTGTTCCATCACAGCAGAGATTCCGGAGAAAGAGATAGATTGGCAATGCTGATTACTCACGCAGCTAAATACAGAAACATATAAATCCATTAATTCTATCACTCTTTAACATGTTTAAACATAGTGAGTTATTATATTGCACTCGCACGTCACATACTTTACTCGGCTCGATTACTGCATGTAGTAAATCATTTGAGCTTTCGAAACCTTTCGTAATAGAACAATTTGTGTAAGCAGGCACATGATACAACATAAAATAGACCTAATGTATGAATCTGTTATTATCAAACAACATTTGGGGTCATAGTAATGTTATGACTCAATATTAAGCGAAGCTCCAGCCATAACCAAAAACCCACTAGGTAGTTGATGTAAGTTGTTTCTCCAAAGTTTGTTCTCCAAAGGCTCTGTTTCTAATTGCTGACGAAACCAGACTTATTGGGCCAGAGAACGTAAAAAGCATACAGTCTAATTACGTAATCCGATTTTCCTCCACTCACGTTCACTGCACGCAGCCCCTGGCGATTTACGTGGTAGCAACTTAATGAGCGCACTGTCAACAATTCGAACACGGCTGACTCCGGCAACGGCACTTGTGTTTGTAAACAGATAGCTCGAATGCGGCCGGTTATCAACCTGCGGGGGCGCGACATCCATTTACTTCCAAATAAACCCGTTCCTCTGTTACGTGATTGAAAAAAATTGGGCAGAAAGACATATTTCAGCAGGGATAGTGTGCTTGTTGAATTTTAAAGTTTGCGGCGTACAGGAAACATTTTAGAGCAATGGATGAACGTCGGTTATACCGATAATGAAGTTTATTCTGCTAGATAGGACAGCTGAGACGTAATGATGAGCACGCACGGGGCGTGAAGTCCTGATGGAGATGCGCAAAACGTTGTGTAAGTGACTACAGTGGGGTGAGTCCAAAATGCCCAGATGTCTATGGTTGACACGCTGGTCTCTCTATCAGTGATAAAAAAAAGACGGTGCTCAGTGTTGTTCACAGTGTAGCGAACATGATATGATCGTAGACGATCTGTAGAGCAAAAATGTGTTCAAATTCTTCTCAAAGTGTATTAACCTAGTTGAGTCTCTATATTTCACGTCTTACATCCGGTAACGCCTGTAGGCTTTCCGTCAAACGGCCTGCTTTCCAGCACAAAACGAGTGATGCGCCTATGCTTAAGGTTCGAACATAGACCACAACATGTTCCCACGATCAGCAGCCAAATACATTACCCACTAAACACTTACGGGGATGCCGATGGACATGAAACCATGTCAGACATCCTGCCATAATAGTACATTGGTATAGTACATGTGTGTCATGAAAGCCCAATCATCTGTGCACGTTAAGTCTTAGAAAAGCGCCCGTTTTAAATAGGATACGCTAGACCATATTTTAAAGTTTGTCCCTTTCATATTCCAATGTGAAATTCAAATTAGTTAGTTTGCATTCAAATGTAGAAAAAAAAGTAGGTATTTCTGCATGATTTTCAGGGCTGAAGCTTCAGACTGTAGAAACAAACCTGCCCAAACATGTCGGGTAGTCGGGCCGAGTCCCGCAAGGAGGCCTTACGAAGGACCGCCCAGCAGGCATGGCCCGATGGCTACATGACAGCCAAAATACAGAAGCTTGAAATACAATTTCAGGCCGATAATCGGCAATTCGAAAAGAAAAGTGATATTTTTCAAGGTAATTAGGACACACTGAAATAAAATTATCGACTTAAATTGACGATATGGAGACAGACCGTATCAGATCAAGGCAAAACGTATTTTTCCATACAATGCAACCGGGTTTTAATCGATAGTGCTATATCTCCGACACACTACAATAAACTATTAGCAAATCAAGTGAACTCTTACTTGTCCGAGATGCTCTTTTTATATATATATATACGTATTAACGTACACAACTCGCTAAACTTAGCACTCAGACACTTACATTCTGCGAGTCATAAGTTTAACATTGATTAATTTCCGGTGAGCCAGCTTTCAGGAATTGCTTGTTAGACTTTCCAACACATAAGTAGCGATAGTTTATTGTTATGAAAAAAATTGCGTTATGCTTCATAACTTTTTTCGTCGCTCGCTACCTTTCGTCAATCTCTTTTCAGGAGTATCTATTCACGTTAACGGCTATACACAACCGCCTGCGGATGAACTTCGCCGCTTAATCGGCGTCCACGGCGGCGGTTACATGAACTATTTTGTGCGAGGTGCAAATCATTTTGTTATCTGTTGTAATCTTTCCAAGGCGAAAAAGACAGATTGGCTAAGGTATGCGGTAAAGCCGGAGTGGATTGTGGACTCGATCAAAGAGGGTCGCAGACTGGCTGTCGCCGATTATTATCTCGAGAAGAAGCGAACGGTGTTCGATTACCGGCAAGCAGTTGTCCAAACAGAGATGAACACATGCGGAACGATATCGGACATCGTTATTGGCAAGGACGCAGAGGGTCCCCGTCCCGAAATGGAGAAAAAAGACTTCGTCAAGAAGGAGGAGCCTCGAACAGCATCCGATGTGGGCTTTGTTGAGAAGTTTTTCGCTAAAAGTAGACTTTCATTTATTGCGAGGATGAAGGTCAAAATGAAGGAGTATCTCAGAACAATTATGGAAAATCCAAGTCATCACTTTAGTGGCCGTCAGACGCTACAAAACGAAGGTAACTTACAGAATGAGACTCTGGAAAGTGTTTATATGCATATAGATATGGACTGCTTCTTTGCCTCTGTCGCTATACGAAACCGGCCAGAACTGAAGCAGAGACCAGTAGCCGTTTGCAGCAATCAGAAGGCGAAACGCAAGAATCAAGACCCCAATCTCGATCTGACAGACTATCGAAGTTGGAACTGGCACGATGCGTCAACTGCTGAGATCTCATGTTGTAATTATGCCGCCCGGCAATTCGGCGTACACGCTAGCATGTACCTTGGCCAGGCGCAAGCACTCTGTCCCGATCTCGTCATACTGCCGTACGATTTCGAGGGATTTGAAGAGGTATCTAGATGTCTCTACGATGCAGTGGCTTCGTTGACACTGAATATCGAAGCGCAAAGTGTAGACGAGCTATTCGCTGATGTTAGCGATGTTATTGAAGATACGCACTGCACTCCTGAAGATATAGGGAAGTATTTGAAGAGTACGATCCTAGAGAAGACTGCATGTACTTGTACAGTTGGGATGGGCCCTAATATGTTGATCGCGAGGCTAGCAACAAAGAAAGCAAAACCGGATGGTTTCTGCTATATTAGTCAAGATCAAGTAGCTGAATTCGTGTCTGATAAAAAAGTCAGTGACATTCCGGGAGTTGGTGACTCCACTGAAATTAAGTTACGAGATCTTGGCATCACAACATGTCTTGAGTTGCAACATGTTCCACTTGCGGATCTAAAAGAGTTGATAGGAGCTAATCAAGCACGTAAACTGGTTGACTTAGCAAAAGGTATTTGCAATCGAACGATTAAAGACGCACGTACAACTCAACAAAAAAACATATCGGTTGAGATTAATTATGGCATGCGTTTCAAGCAAATCAGCGAAGTCACGAATTGTCTTAATGAACTTGCTGATGAGGCCCACAAGCGTTTGCAGAACTCCAATTTAGCAGCAGAAGTGCTTCGTTTGAGAATTCTAGTCCGACATCCAGACGCGCCGGAGGAAACAATGAAGTATCTTGGCTGTGGCATGTGCGACCAGCTGGCTAAATCAGAAACGTTTAAAATACCTATCACAAGTAGGGATATGATAGGTGATAGCGTTCAGAGTCTCTACGCAAAACTGAACCCAGTTATAAAAGATATTCGCGGTTTGAGTATTACCCTTTCAAAACTGACTTCCGTTCAAAAGGTTCCTAAGATTTCAAACATTGAGGCATTTCTTGGGCGTTCAGTTAAACCTGATCTACCAACTCTTCGCACTGAAAGTGCCAATCTGCACCCAGATCCATCTTTTAGGCAGGAACGGACGGCGAATAATGGATCCCTTGAGATATATATCTTGTCAAGTACCGAAGAGTCCGGTGGAGAGGACTGTGCTGCGTTATTGGACGAACCACGTCCAAGGGCCGCTGTAACTACCAAAAAAAAACCGACTTTTAGTAAAAAGCGAAGCAAGTTGAAGTTAATTTGCAAGAAAGGAAAGAAGGCTAAAAAACGTGGCCAATTAGATATACGAAGAGTGATTGAGTTTGGCAAGGAGACTCGAGGCAAATTGGCTGCAGTTCGTCCACGAAAATTGCTTGAACTTCCGGCAATGGCACACGCATCTGCAATCAAATTAGATAAAGTAAAACAATGTGAAAGGGATTCATCATCAGTTCGTGAAGGCTTGGTAAGTTTAAGCCAGCTTATCATTGTTTTTAAAAAAGTAGATATAGTAAAATATTTTTTGTTATAATGGTGTGAACGATTTTGTTAGGCCTTTTTTTGTTTAATACCTTATTTTTCGAGAATCTTAGCTCTAGAACCTACTCTAATTTGAGTAACAGGTATTATAAAAAAAACAACTCTTTCTACCTCCATTTAAATAACTCAGTGCGCTTATCAAATTCAGGTTGCATCATTTGGACCGAAAAAACTCTTCCATTTATGTCGCTTGCTTCACGAATGGCTAAATAGTTCTATGTTACCGACTGAGACGGACATCTCTGCCTGGATTACTTCTTTACAACAAGTTGCTATAGAAGATCCACGATCCTGTACTGCCCTACTGAGGTGTATGTTTCGACAAGCACGAAAGGCTTCCTCCAGCTCTAATATCTGGACCACCACTTGTGACAGAATTCGAAGAGATATACAGATTTTTGTCGATACGAAAGTCGCTAATGGAGATCTCTGTATTCAGCTGTGATTGAGACTAGAGTACACCCGTAATGAATAAAAAAAATTCTATAGCAACTACGCAAAACAGACCTGTCTTAAGTGACACGGTTCGAGCCATAGATTGCCGGCTCGTTCACTACCTCTAGCACTCGCTTTCTAGCTTAAGATTTGTGGCACGTGAACAAATCTGTTACCTCCCTATTTATACTCCCTATATATACTCCCTATAGAGTGCTTTTGCACATTCCAGCATGCTTTAAATATATGCGATATGTAGATATAATATGGATTAGATAATGCTTCTGATGTAGGTTCGTTGTTGATTATCATGTTATAAATTTAGACAAGTAAATATATAGAGACAAAAGACTGCAAATAAAACAACGGTTTTGTTTAAACGAAATACTTTAAAATGTTACCTTTCCTTTATTAACAACATAAACATTGTCTCTTTTTCAGGCTGTAAGAGTTCCATAACGCACTCAATACGTTTTTCGTTGCTTAGGCATGAACCGGCTAATATGTAAATACCAAGAATTATCTTATTTTTCCACCACCAACGGATCACTTGTGGACTTCTTTATAACGGTTGGAGGCAAGGGGTTGTAAGCACATAAACATTTAGTTATCGCAATCGATAATATTTATCATGACAGACATACTCGCTAAAATATTACATGATATCCGTGTTATACCTATGATGCCTGGCTCTTAGTATTTTCAGCAGCATCTTGATTCTGCTTGAGTAGCTTAATGTATTCGGCCCGTAATTTATACTTTAAAGGCGTTCCCCGTTGCATCGCGTACTGTTCCTGCTCCAACAGTTTCCAGGTAGCCGCGCGCATGCTTAGACCGAACCACTCGGCTTCTTCCTCGGGAATAATGAACTCCGCATATTTCTTTAGGATTCGCTCGCGCTTCTCCGGGTCGTTAGGATAGAGATCTTTTCTAGCTAACGCCAGGAGAAGTTTCCGACGTAGGTCGAATGCTAACTGCGAATTGAGATCTTGTACTGGCGTTTGCAACAAATACATGTCCAAGCCGAATTTCTCGTCGATCTTTTCCAGGGCGAGCTGAGTCACCTCGGTCTGAAAACGGCAAGAACAGACCTTTCTTACCTAGATTCTATTACATTTGTTATCAAGCCTTAATGACCAAATTATAGCATCGGTGTCAAAAATATACATATAATTTAGTTAGCAACATTCTTTGTATAAAAAAAAATTGAATTCATCAGTATTTACACCACGAGTGATGGTCTCACAGTTTTAAATGGCTGGAATACACTTCAAATAATTATAGTTTTAGTTTTTTAAAATTGACTGAACTTATTCTTTAAAAGACCTGTTTAGCAAAGAAAAAATTCGTAGGGGTGTTTTTACTTAACTTCTAAAAATATCCCAGAAGCAGGCCAGATAAACTCCCCCAGTAAAAAAAACATACATATTTGCTATGTCTAGAATATGGTCAAATATGTCTCTACCATAAAATTAAGATATATTAAGGCAAAATACCTTATCGACAAAGCCTTTTATTTAAAATTCCACTTTTAATTTTTACATATGAAGTACGCGTTGAATTCAGCTTTATAATTTTTCATTTCTTGGGCGGTCATGATTGGGCAGTCGCTCAGATACCGTTACAGCCAAATTTTCAGGTGCTTCCAGTTAACTGCTTAGACGAAAACACTGTACGTTATTGATACCAACCTTAAGATACTTATCGAGGATTTCAGAATACAGGACGTGAGAGTACACCTTGGGTACCCAGAGTGTCATAATCGTCTTTATCGCATTCGGATAGAATGCTCTCCTTTTTTTCGCCATACGATAACCTTTTACGATCCCTTCACCGCCCCAAAGTCCTTTGTGGCTTTCCGGCGGGTAAATAACTGGAATTGGTGCATCGACGACGGGGAGCACTTGCTGTGTGTTTTCATCCCGAAAAAATTTTTCTTTGATAGGCACGTAGTTCACTGGGGTGCGCGGTCGTTTTAGTTCCTCGAGAAACTGCTGATAGCACTTTGGGAACCGCTTCGTAAAAGGCACATATTCCAGAGGAACCCGTTTGGGTATAGGGGTGAGCACAGTTTGCATTAGTAAACGCTTTTTTTTCAAGGAGGAGATAAATCACAGAAGTTTCAGTACTGCGCAAACATAAAGCCCATGCGATCCCTGATAACCACACTGTGTAGCAGACAGTGCGGATTACGTTTAAAGAGTACACATGGAACCGGCAGAAATGTTAGCGCCTAGATGAAGCAGTATATCAAAACAGAGAAATGTGTTAACCAACTTGTTTGATGAGACATACTTGTCGAACGTGCTAAATTTCAAGACTGTATATCCAGTTATTTAGTGTAAGGAAAGTACGTTAGATCGTGTTGAATTTCTGTGATTTATTGGCCTAAGTGAAAAGAATATTATAATAAACAAGACCTGCAAATTCACATGCTCGTTGGCCACATTTAGGGAGAATGTAATTGGAAATTGTGGCCAGTGCTGAGACCGAATGCAATATTTTAGCAGCAGCTGAGAGAGCTTAGCGCAGGTTCTGCATGAGCGAGTGAGTTTGAAGTGTCTGTGCCTGGTGCGAGGTGTCGCCCAAAGAAGCAGTTCATGGAAGATCTGTGACTCTCTGGATACCATGTGAACGGAGTGAACCGATGGTAAGTGCAGTTTGCGTACATAAAATGAATATCTATCCTATTGAGCCTTGTGGGACCCCGTCTGGATTAAGCCATCCGTGATTCTATATAGCTATAAATCTGATAACAGAGTGTAATCTACCATTAGAGCTACAAGCACATACTGGTGCGAGTGGGATGGGCGCGAGGAAAACTACTCGTATAATAAGCTCCTGTTCTGCCTTGGTTTATTGCGACGTGATCGCTTAGTGAAAAGAAAAACACTGAGCAAGCTAACTGCGCCATAAAAAAAGGCCTGTCTGTGCCTTGATGTTGGTCACTTTTGAGTGCAAACCTCAGGCTATAAAAGAAGCAAAATTGAAAGAAAATATAAAAGAAGGTGAAATACGAGGAAATATTTTTTGTTATCGAAAATCAGAAATGTTGTTTTTTTTTGCTCGTGGGCCATATGAATAAAACGTACTGTTATAATTCGCAGTCATTTTTGAGGCACCGCTGGACTTGTTATTCCTTTAATATTAGTATTCCTACTTAATAATGGCGACAATGATGATTTTATGTTGGTCAACAAGTTTAGCATTGGAACACAATTAGTAATTAACGACTATTTGATTGATACTGATTGTAATAATCAGATCTGTCACGACACCTATCCATACAATGGTGCAGCTCTCTAAGTTGCTCCTTCCAATACACGTAGTTGACAACGCATTTAACTTTAATTGAATGTCGTGATTACTTTTATTGCGTTCAAATATTGGTTTTAACCGACCCGCCTGCCTGGAACGCTTTTAATTTCAATTTAATGACCATGTATTAATGAACTGCAGATGTTTAAGTTGCTATTCAATTAAGTAAATTCTGATATCAAAATGCAAAAGATAAGCTGAAATAATAAACTCATATTTGGCTAATCGCGAATCAAACCCGTTTTATCATATGTGACATAGTAATTTATGAAATTCATTACGCATAGACGCGAAAAGATACAAAGGCAAGATAACATAATAGAAAAGCTGTTACAAGTGTAACATTAAAATTATAGTCATAAAAGTAAACAACGTAATTGCATTGTTCTCAAGGAAAAACCGTACTGGTTGCACTCCGTTGTTCACACGAAAGAGCGTAGGTCACGATATGGCCTCGTTTCCTTTTAAAACTTGCCTTTTTAGAACGACCCAACTTCCTGTTGGTACGTTCGATTGAATATTACGGCCGACAGGTCTTGCTTTCTATTGGCTAAGCGTCACAGTTACTCAGAGAAGAAGCAAAGCCTCCCTAACAACAATTCAGAATAACGACGTTGGTAAGGAAAGATAAATAATATTTTTTATTGTGTTGCATTCTCCTAATTTGATTGTCTAAACGGTCAGCGATTTCAGCTGTGTTGAGATGTAATAAACAGTTAGCATATATAATGCAGGACCTGGTTCCCAAAGATAGCTACTCGATTCACTTAGATAACGTAATTGGCTATAAGCAATCAACCTACATGTTGAATTTCTGGTCACAAATGATAAAGTTCCGACACAATATTAAGCTCGGTTTACGTGAATAAAAGGTAACCACGTTCTTCGTTCGGTATTACAGCTGAACATTGCTCAAAACGGGTAGCTCCTAGTATGAAACGAAGCCTAATTTCGGACCTAGACCACTTTATACGTTACTAACTACGACTAACTAATCAGATGGCCAGCATTGCTGCTTGAAACAGGCCACTGGATTAGCATAATTCAAAATCACGAATCACTATTTTGACAAAAAGTGTACTGGGGTAGCTGCGGATCTGTACGGCAAATGTACGTACATGACTTCCTTTTTGATTCTGTGAACCTTCTAACCTAATAACAGTAATTCTGTTCTTTGAGGTAACTGAATAAATTCATTAGTCGACGAGGCCTACGTTTCATCAAAAGCACTCATTTATTTCTTTTTTTTTTAAATCTGACGGAACTATTTTCAGCTTTGGACGGGCGCCGAGTGGAGCAGCCTGCTCTTTCGAGCGTTGAAGCTTCTGGCCCTATTCTGTTTCGCAGGAAGGTTGGAAGTAAAAGCCCAGCCGACGAAGCCTTTGACCCTCAGTACGCCCATAGACACCCTGCAACACTTCGACGATGGCGATGAGGTTAGCATACGAATTAGCTACTCGACCGAGTCACTTGCCGATGAGTTTGTTGTCTGCTTTCGCCATTATCTTAGCCCGGCCGCCCGCAATCGCTATATACGAGCCGCACTTGAGCAAGGCGCGTACGAGATCGTATCGCGCGACAAGTTTGGCCACGTGGCGAGTGATTTTGAAGTAATACGGGCGACGTCAGCGAATCTTGTTGACCGGCTATGGGAGCATCCTGAGGTGCGATATGTTTCCCCGCACAAGAGCGTGCGGAGGTTGTTTTCTGTGATAAATTCGACTGATTCGTTGATAAATGAATTCACTGGTGCAAGAGTTGCGAAGTTGGACGCGAGGTTGCCTGCACCTGCCGAGTCTCTAAACAAAGAAAAGGTTTCACATCGAGGCGTGCAACAACAACAGCAACGTTCAAAAGAATTGAGGGAATCAACCGAATCCACGAGGCCTGCCTCAAAAAAGTGGCGGTCCACGGAAAAACAAAGGAAAGTCAAGAAGAAGAGTGTTGCCTATCATGGTCCCGAGGTGTTCTTCGATATCGTTGGCGAGAAGCATCAACAAAGTCGCAGACTCTTAAGAGCGTTAAACACAAAGCAGGTGACTCAAGTACTCCAAGCGGACACACTATGGGGGCTTGGTAAGTTGTTTTTGATTTGTAAATTCACGCAGTTACTTTATTTAGTACGACACAATACAGCAAATGTAATTCGTGATGGATTTGAAAAAATAGGTCAGACGCAAGTATCGAAAGACCTGACAGGAAAATTGACAGTTTTGCAACATAAGTAAACACACGGAAGCATATTTAACTTACTGAGAAGAAAAAAACTACTATTTTATGCCATTCTAATCTATTCTTTGGGTGTGCTTTAAAATGTAGGTATCCGAGGGGCTGGTGTTCGAGTCGCTGTTTTCGATACCGGACTGGGTGCAGAGCATCCACATTTTCGAGGCATCCTGGAACGAACGGACTGGACAAATGAGAAGACCACAGACGACGGGCTTGGCCATGGTTAGCTTATAATATTTTGTTAGCATTTGTTTTCCGAAAGCAGATGCAGACAGTTAGTTTACTGAAACTCACGTACCAAATATAAGAGTATTTATATGTTTAGATAAAACGTACTACGCCAGAGTAGAAGATCAAAGAGGAATTAAAGTAGAGAAAAACGTAGCTAAGAAAAGATGTGGTGACTTGCAGTTGACTGAGCATTTACGTCGGCTTCTCTTGGTATTTTACCGTCACGTTTTTCAGGAACCTTTGTAGCAGGCGTTATTGCATCAGACCATCCGGAATGTCGAGGGTTCGCTCCAGAAGCCGAAGTCTATATATTTAGGGTTTTTACTAATGCTCAAGTGTCATACACATCCTGGTTTCTTGACGCCTTTAATTACGCTATACTTAAGAAGATTAACATTCTCAACCTGTCGATCGGAGGCCCTGATTTTATGGATCGGCCTTTCGTGGATAAGGTGTGGGAACTCACAGCTAATAATATTATCATGATCAGGTAAATACTTACGAAAAATACAAACGTCGCCAAAAGTAGAAAAGAAGCAGCTCTTTACGCTTTACGCTAGAAGCCTCTTTACACTATTAAGCCTTACATATAGTGGCCTGGGTAGGGCGAAGCAACTCCTGATAAAACTTAACTATTTTATAGGAGTCACTTTTATTCTACTTTTTGAGACTTTATTAAAAAAGTGCTTTTATTTTTGATAAAAACTTCGGGCATGTTGTGCGCATTTAGTAATATTTGAGCAAGCCGAGTGTTCTGATTTGTCCCTGTTGGCTTTCAGCGCAATTGGCAATGACGGACCTTTATATGGTACCCTGAACAATCCAGCTGATCAGATGGACGTAATCGGTGTAGGAGGCATAAACTTCGAAAACGAAATCGCAAAATTCTCGTCTCGCGGAATGACTACTTGGGAGTTGCCTTTAGGATACGGACGTCTAAAGCCCGATCTCGTTTCGTATGGTAGTACAGTCTATGGGTCAGCCATGAATGGTGGTTGTCGTTCGTTATCAGGTACATCAGTGGCTTCACCTGTCGTGGCAGGAGCCGTTACACTATTACTCTCAGGAGTGCTTGACCTTTTCCCATTGGTCAATCCAGCTTCGATGAAGCAGGCTCTGCTATCATCAGCTCGCCGACTATCCGGACCGAATATGTTTGAACAAGGCTGGGGTAAACTAAACTTAATTGAGGCCTATCAGGCGTTGAGAGCGTACACACCGCAGGCCACTCTTAGTCCGTCCTACGTCGACTTCACAGAGTGTCCTTACATGTGGCCATACTGTACCCAGCCGCTGTATCATTCAGCTATGCCAATAGTACTCAATATTACCGTCCTCAATGGGATGGCTGTTTCCGGCCGACTCGTTGAACCGCCCATCTGGAATCCTTATCTCCCACAAAATGGCGACATGCTCAATATATCCTTTAGCTACAGTGAGGTCCTTTGGCCGTGGAGCGGTTATATGGCCATGCATATTGTCGTCAATGAGAAAGGGGCCGCATTTGAAGGGGTGGCGCAAGGCTTCGTGAGCCTTACAGTGGAGAGTCCTCCAGGCCCAAACGAAGAAAAACCGCGAAGATCTCGCATTGAGCTGCCGCTTAAAGTCCGCGTAATTCCAACACCCCCCCGACATAAGCGTATCCTATGGGATCAGTATCACAACCTAAGATACCCTCCAGGATACTTCCCTAGAGATAACTTGAAAATGAAGAGCGATCCGTTAGATTGGCACGGGGACCACATTCATACGAACTTCAAAGAACTATACACGCATCTGAGAAATACCGGATACTACGTCGAAGTTCTCGGTGAACCTTATACTTGCTTCGATGCAAAAAATTACGCTGTCTTGCTTGTTGTTGACCCCGAGGAGGAGTTCTTTGTCCAGGAGATTGAGAAAATCAAAAGAGATGTCGTCGAGGACAATTTAAACTTTGTTCTATTCGCGGATTGGTATAACAGCACGGTGATGCGGAAAGTTCGGTTCTACTATGAAAATACGCGCCAGTGGTGGTTACCTGATACTGGAGGAAGCAATATACCTGCCCTCAACGATTTGCTCGTTCAGTGGAATATCACGTTGGGAGACGGCGTTTTTGAGGGAAGTTACAAACTGGGCAAACATGATATGTACTACGCGTCGGGTACAGAAATTATTGGTTTTCCCAAAGAGATGCTAACAATCACCCGAACACTCAACGACCAAGGAGTCGAAATAATTGGCGGTGAAAGCGGCACGGGGGGACAGAAACGACGTCAGGAGGTCGTTGTAGCGGGCATCCTGCAGACTCGACATAATGAAAGAAAAGCCGGTCGATTATCCATCTATGGCGATTCCAACTGTCTTGACTCGGCACATTTGCAAAGAGAATGTTTCTGGTTACTGAACGCAATGCTTCAATGGAGCACAACGGGACAAGCGCCTCCTTTGTTCTCAAAACAGGACGATCACCGTGATTCTATGGAAGAGAACGAAATTCACTCCACATCACTGCCCCAAAGGGTGAAAGGTAAATAGCACAGCTGCTTTTCACGTGAAGCCTTCTGTCCTATGTAAGTTACTGTGAATACTTGTGGCTTCTTCTAGAAATGGAGATTTTTAGTACGTTGATGGTAAGCGACTAAAAAGATTCAGTATCATACCACTCAGATTGCTCAATTAGAACTTAAGTAATGCTGGTTTACTCGAGTAAGTGCTATTTAAGTTAAAAAAACTATGGAAGATCTGTTTCGTTTATAAATACGCTTTAACTTATAGCTAGTGATATAAAAACTATTTAATATCCTTTTAGCATTATTTATTGCATATTGATTGCATAGCAAGACATTACTTAAGCAATGCAAAACAATCACGCAATAATTGTTTCATATTGTGCAATAAGTGTATTAAATAAATAATGAAATATTTACTTTATTACGCGTTTTAAGTATTCTTTCGTGAGACGTTTTGGTCGTTACGGTATGAGTGTCGTGAATTCTGACACTGCTTAACACCGATTTTATTATATACTAAACCATTTTTAAGGTATTTAACAAAATTTTTGACATTAACAATTTCAGATAATCAGCTCCACAAACATTCGAAGGTTCGAAGTGCCACAGGTTTGAAATCCCTGAGTCAATGTCGACGGCTAAATTTTAGCGCCCCGTCAGTGGTTAACTCATCGGCACCTAGCCAAGTTTACAAGCCACAGAAACTTCTTTCTGTCGACTTGAACCTAAACATGTTGCGTCCACCAGTGAAGGTTATCGAGCGCGTTGAGGATGACCAGTTGATGCCTAACGGAGATGTAATGGTAAAGCAGATGCACCAAGTGGTATGTTGTCATTTCCTCCATATTATGACCCTCATGCGTCTCTGTTGCCATATCTTTGCTATTGCTCTTGTTGTCAAGAGATAGAGCAAATACTTAATCGTCGATTTTCATTGGAGCAAAGAAGGCCTTAAAGATGTAGTGCTTTGATCTTCAAAATGTCTGTTTCTTGTTTGTGCATAGCTGAATGGTGGGTCGGTGTGTAAATTGCATTGAAATATATAGGGAAAACCTAAGGAGCAGAAGTGCTGTCACTGGTACTTTTCCGTGGTGGTGGTGGAGCTAGTCATAGAAATCTGTCTGTATGCTTTGAGTGGTCTGGTCCTCTAATTGTTCCTTTTATTGCCCTTAATTGCATTTGACGTTGATACAATCGTCCACGTGGCTATCGGCGGTCTAGCTCCAATAGAAACAGAAATATAAGACCGTGTTTCACATGCTACTAGGAAAGGAGAAAAAAGCATGCTTTCCTTTTTACCCGCCCACTGATAATAAACTATTGAACTCCAGTAATTTTTGTAATTTCACTACTGACATTTTAAACTGCTCTCATTAGCTGCTTTCTTCTATATACTGTTGTACTGTGAACAGTGCTCGGGCCACTATGGTAGATTATCCCGTTAAACTTGTAGAAACCTTTGAACCTATGAGGAAATAAGCGAATTATTTCGTATAAAGACGTCCGATACAAAAAAGAAATGTGAAAATCAACCAACTCATTCGGGAATGATTATTTTTATCATTTCGTGACGTCATTAACTGTACTCGATATTGGTTTGGCAGCAGTGATATTTGTTTATATTTTGAGGGACGCTTGTTACCTTCTCAATTACGGATCGAGTCTAATTAATCGCCGACTTTCCAAGACACCGCTAGGTATAGCACCCTCCAGTTTATCTACAAACGAGTGTAGAAGAGTGAGGGTTGAGGGAAGAACTGCATTTGATTACAGCGCACGTTCTATCGGCACTAATTGCAGCATGACGTCTCCTCAGTGGATGGCCCATCGCTTCTAGTTCCCTCCGCGTGGCTATGGTTCTCGCTCAAATATGGTTCTGCCCTTCTTGTCTTCTACATTTTATTACGACTTACGGTGAGGCGGCTTCTTCCTCGTCTGCTGTTCTTGGGTCAGCACAAAACCCGCCAGGTGACGGTTGCTTAAACGGTTGAGCGGCAGGGCATATTCGCTAAGGTAGGTGGTGGCGGTTGACAACAAGGCTAATCAAGCGGCTAGTGCGTATTTCATTCCGAATACCCACTAACACTTTTGTTTTTCAGCTTTTATGATATGTTTTATTATTTTTTCTGGAACTACTTAGAAAACATGCACTGGTGCTTATAGAGAGTTTATAGGCACATGGTATAAAAAAAGGTTGGACGCTACAAAACCTTAATCTATTCACTTAAAGATGGAACAGCGGTTTCGTTCAAATTTTGCAAACCTAGATCAGTTATGCATTATGTGAATTGTTATGTGAGTCAATGTTTCAAGTTCAAATTGAACTTGTGTTGCAGATGTGTGATCACTTTCCGGAGATCTCAGAGAGAGGACGAGCGGATAGCAAAAACAACGCTCAGGAAAATCAGCAGCCAACCTTGCCTGATAAAGATATGGTGCACATGAAAAGAATGTCCTTCAGAACAAACGAAGACGCTAACGTTGCCATGCGAAATATCGAAGTGCACAAAACCGTTTTTCTAGATGATCGGGACTACTACGATGACCCTTCTAATAATAAAAAAACAGATTTCTTTCGAATGCAGGAGAACGAAAACTTCAAGTTTATTCCCATGAGAAATAGTAAGCTGGTGACGTTAGCTCGAGGTAGTAATAGTCGAGATCAAGCACAACAAAAATCGACTTCCGACTACCCGCAGCGTTACCGTCATGAATTGTGATAGAGCATTCTGCAGACTGGAGAGTTTCTTAAAGGACGGATGGGTACTCGATATTGGAATTAAATTGGGACCCATCATTCGTGCTGACCACGACTAACGTATCTAAATGAATTCAGCGAATCGCTTCAAATAAGGGTGTATTAATCTTACAATCCTAATAGAACGACTTTGCAGAAGTGCAATGAGATTGCTGTGAAGTCAATGTACAATACATTGAATTGATTCTGATAAAGAGCCTACTCTTGCTTGCTGCAGAAGCGACGTAAAAACGTTTCCTGTTAAAAGAATTTTGTACTAGAGCTCATTAGGTATACTGTTCAGCTTCCTTGTTTCGATCACGGAACGAAAGTATTTTAGATGTGATGGGAATAGAATACGGTAATGAAAAGGGCAAACACAAAAAATCGCCGGAAGCAAATGGATCAGTCAGAGTGTGTATTAAAATGCACTGTTTGGGATGTGGGTTAAGCAGTTGACCCTATGTATATATTTACGTATACATATAGATAAATAAATATAGATATATTTATTTGTACTGATGTATTTGGATGTTTCGTAAAAAACTAAAAATAAGGTAATGTTTTTATATAAGAACATACTGTTTTTTCAGTCACTCTACACTAACGGTACGTCAGCTCCGTCTTGAATGAGTGCAATTTATACAATCTTGCCATATACACGATATTTGTAAATCGAACCGGTACGGTATACTTGTTCATTTTCTATTTCGACCTTCATATTTGCTGTGGAAGGGAGTGAAGAATGATACCGCTGTTATTTTTTTAATCAGAAATATGAGGTTTTGAAAATTGTTTTGTTCTTGATAATTGTTTTTGATATCTTGGAAAATGCTGGGTTCTTTCTGTATTTGTAATTACTAGTTTAATTATTTAGTATGTCAAAGTTACTCATTTATTATAGATGTTTCTCCTTAATTAGCGCTTATCCATAATGAAACCTTTAGCAAGAATTCCAGCTTATCTTTTAGTTGCGCCGCCCATTAATTCCTTTTATATGAATACAGTAAACTATACCTAAATTTTCTACTTTAAGAGAAATGATTCATGTCTTAGGCAACTACAAGTATCCTTTAATTCCATAATGGCTGCCTTCGCAACTAAACTGTAATAAATCTTCCCTATATACAGTTTAGAATAGTATCCTAGACCACATTTCTATATAAGATGCATAGGCGGATCAATATAGGAAGATTCCGCCTATGCAATTTTCCTATTATGTTTATCCCATTGGGTCCTACTAAGACGGACTTCAACTTTTCATGTCGAGTGCAATCTCAACGAACGTCAAGGTTATGTGTACAGTTGACCAAGCTTGTAAACCTCCACGCTTACGCACAATTGCAAAAGAGTTCTTAACCATTGTCTAAAAATAAAAGCGTCTTATCGAGTACTATAGAAGTGAAGTTGCAATACACACGTTGCTACATTGCAGCTCTCAGCTAACCAATGCACATTGTAAAGAATATAGCGTAATACTTATTTACTAATTACTAGACCTAACTACACAATAAGATTCTGACAAGGGTTGGATCCTACTAAAGCATGTAGCTGCGCGATTAAGATGTCGTTGCGCAGCTAAAAACTAGGGATTTAACTTCACTTTAAATGTTTATCTCTACACATGTACTCAAAACGGGCAAAAATGAACTTATGTTTCCTAGCAAAACAGCTGCGTTCTGACCACGTGGACACGGTATTTGCTTGACCACGGGCGTGAATTGTTAGCAGGCAGGTAAAAATTATAGTTAGCTGTCTCGAATGAAGCGGGCACTTAAAGCGATAATCACAAAAGCAGATATTAGGATTTTCGCAGCAAAATGAATTGACGGTAAACGATGATACTGAGTCTACGATTAGCCGCTGGCCATATATGCTCGAAAATACAGTAGACATACCTTGAACATGTCTTAAGTCAACGGTAATAAAGTGCAAAACAGGATATTTATGTTGGGCTAAAAAAATTATTCCAATAAGCAGTATATATAAATAAAGTAAACTAAAGAAAACAAAGATGCGGCGAGCACCACTATACGAACCTACGAGCTCAAAACAAACAGCTTTGGTTTGAATTTCAATAAAGTACTAATCCTTCGGCAACTGCAATTAATGCTGTCATTGAGCAAAGTACCAAGGGCATAGCGACCACAACAGTGTGGTACGGCTTCTGGTCAGCTTTATAAGCCAGGCACATTAGTAGATTTGACAGATGATGCCACGGGTGAAGAGAGACGTTGAAGATCTGTGTGTTCGTATGGTTTCGTTTAGTCGGCCAACAGTCACTCGCGCTTCTGAACAATTCAGTCAAAAACAATGGTGTCCCCACAGTTCAACGAGTACATTACCATAGGCTATGTCAGTTCTGGGGTAGCTTGCTGTAGGCCGTATTGCTAAGAACAAAGATAATTGAGTAAGGCTGGAAGTCAGCAGACGCAGAAAATGAGGGCTTTAAAAACTTCCGTAATGTTGCGTTCTCGCAATCTGTTTTCGGCGGCGACGAAGTCGACGCTGTCTGGGATTCAGTTGAGTACTAAGCATCGTACATTAAAAATTCTCGCGAGTACACGAGCACATTCATGCCAAAACGGGTGTGTGGTGGTTAGTCAGTCTTTCCGATGGAAATTAGTTTTGCTGGGACATTGAAGCGACGAAGACGGCACGTCGATGAGCGTGCCTGCATACCGGAGTTACTGTCGTTTGTACTCAGCATGTCGTTTAGGTATGGTTAGCCCAGTTTACGGGAGCGGACTGCGGCAGGTATATGTGAGATTTTTAATTAGAGTGCACTTGACTATGAACTCTGCGCGAGCAAAATTCGATTATTAACAGGACAACGCGCGGGCAGTCGGCTGAAGCAAATGAGGTAACTAAACAATTATTGTCGGGCTGTGAATATGCGAGCATGTCTTGACGACCATACAGAACTGTGGCCTAGAAACGGCTACGTGAAATTGAATGGGATGAGTTTCTGAGTGTTATACTATTGCTTATTACTAACGAAAGTTTCGTGCTCTGCTGATCTCGCGCAAACTTTACTGAACCTATTAAAGTTAACCTGCTCTTGGCACTTCAACACTAAACGGACCACGTGTCTACAAGCTTGTCCCTTGTTCATGATGTAGTTGGTACACCTCAAGCGTTATTACTACTTTGTGAGGGTGAAAAATTACTCCATAGACAACACTGACCCCGCAAAAGGCTCCCAGCTGCTGCACGCAGTCGAACTCGTAGTATAATTGCAAGACCGATCTGTAACGACAATAACGTTAGCGAGTGTCGCACGGAAAAGAATGCGCGTAGCATAACAGCCATAGCGATACGCTGATATCACAAGGGACCCTGCAGACGATGCACATACATGCGACTCGTCGTGCAAGCGTGTGTTGACATGAGTATGGCCATGAAAGCGTACAAGGCATGGTAGGGTTAGCGAGTTTTTGAATGAACACGCACTGGGCGGGTTATGCCTAGTCCTGTCAGATCAGCAGTACTAATTGATAATGTGAGCTCTAGCGTCGTCGTTCTGGTACGACAACCTTAGGTTACATAGTCTTATTCGTCGCCTTAAAAGGCCGTACTTTTGTCAAAATGGAAATTTATAGAATGTTATCGTACGAAATGTGGTCGCCAGGTGTTTTGTGTGTGGAGATCTAGCCGTCCGAAGCAATGCTTAGCGGCTGTAATGAGCGTCAGATATCCAACATGTAAATGTCGGCGTGGCAAATGCGGCAATACGGACTATCTAACAATAAAACAGTGTCAAGATTTTTGAGGATATGAAAACGTCAGCCAGCGCATCACTTAGGTTAGTATTATAATATTCAGAGGTTTGCACTATAAACATGTTTTATACCTTTATACACACAGTTGTCAATTCTTTGATATTATAATAAAAATTTAATACGCGTAATGTTCATCTTGTAAAACATGGATATTTATATATTATATATTTCAATACATAGCGGTTGCCCAAAAATAGACGTTGCTCGGTTCTGATCTAACGTATCATACTACTTTACCTTTAGCAGACAAAAAATCTTGGTCAAAAATATTATCCCTGACGAACTTAATACACTGGAAGTATAGAAGGTATCCTTCCTCTAAAGTCAACTGAAGTGCTGGCACATACTCCAAATTCTAGCTAAACGTTTATTTTTAGCCCAGTTTAATAGTATCTGCTTCCTGTAAATAAACCTGTCTAGTTTTTTCTCAACAAAGAAGCGTAATGGAAACGACTATTTGATTTGCATCTTGGGTGAGAACAGATTCTCTATACCAATCGACATTGACATGACAGGTATATGTGAGTATTCATTCAAGCGAATCATCTAGGACCAATTATACAGATTTTGGATCGAAAATATTGTTTCTTTCCATTCGGGTAGCACATCGTTCAGTTTTGAACTGTTTTTGCTTTACATTATCAATTAATAGCAAAACTTATTTGCTATGTGAGTACTTTATGAACCTAAATAATTACGACACTCGAAAACTAATTATAAATTCAGAAAATTTTATTTTCATTTCCAAATCATTCTGACCAATATTCTGTCGCAGTCTGAATCCAGACATAATAGTATAAACCAAAGAAATTTTGCATACTTTTTTCTGCTTCTAATATTTCACGAACTGCATATTTAACGATTCGAGCGTACTTCATAACACCAAGGACGTAGCATCACGTCTTTTAGGTCAGCCGTGTCGCGTTTTTCTGTGTTTTGCCTTTGTTCACTCTTATGTTCCGTTCAGAGTAACAAGTATCACATTTGTCTATAGTAGCAGTAATCGTTAATTAAGATTTAAGTCGTAGAATAATTGACGAAAACCAAAATGGGCGAAACACCGCTTGTTGCCCTAAAAAACCATTAATTGCGATGTGAATAACATAATAGTGATAATGATAATAAATCTGTAATTTAAACATTTTGTCTATCGTCATCTCCTTCTTGGTTTTCGTATTAATCGCATTCTTTTTTCATGTGATTCATATATATATATATATATATGAGGTATCTAATGAACAAAAAATTGCGTCTTCCTCTTCGACCCTGTGGTGCCGCTTTCTTCTATTTCTTAAAGGATTGATACACTACGGTAGCGGCAGGAGATCTCTTATGACAACAGTTTTTCACAATTGTTCGTTATCCGAGAGAATACATCGCACATATAATTTTATTTGTAGTAATTATTATTCATTTTGGCAAAAAAATCTTAATTTAATTAATTATATGTTTAAAGAACAACAATTGGGTCGGTATACCTCTTGTACAGAATTGTTGTGTTATCATACACAGTATACGTACCAATCCTCAGATTTTTAACAAATAAACACTTTTTGTTTCTCTGAGCAGGTTATGCATTCACAGCTACAGTGCTATTTGCACAACATTTTTATTGACCAATTCATTTGATGGCAAGCGCCAAGTACTACCAATGGGCGACTGCCTCGTGCAAAGTATTTAAATTATGGTAATTTTGAGCCGTTAATTCGATCTGGCTATTATGGCGCTACCATTATGATCATACCTTTGTTACACCTGCTTTTTTGCAATTCGTTAAAAAAACCCTATCCGTCTGTCTTGTACATGCATAGCCATAGTTTACGTATCAATTCGCTAATTTCCTCAGCTGGACCTTACGCTGGTATTTTATAGTTTCACTCCAGAACTTAAACAATGGGCAACATGTATCCTTCGCCGGCTCCTGTTTCTTCTCTGTGTCACTCCAATCGATTCTCCGTATCTTGGTATATATATTTTTCAGCTTAAATCCAGTCCGGTCGTGCTCCCATTTTCTACACAACTAATATATATATATATATATATATATATATATATATATATATATATATATATATTCCTTAAAACCATTTTTTGTTAATTTCTTTAGTTTATCGTTATTTCTCATCGTTTTGTCACTATTATTTCTCCAATGTTGAAGGCACAAAATTTGTTTATTAGTTAAAGCACGCACCTGGCCACGTCACAATGACAAGTCGTCTTATAGCTTACAATTACAATTGCAAACTACTGAAACAATCATCAGCGTTGACGTGACAGGCTTATTTTTTAGCGTGCTACCTTTTTCCTATTTTGTACAAAATTCAGCATTGAGCAGTTGCCTTCTCACTGCCCACGCGTGCACGGACAAGTCATCGTAATGTCATACTTGTATTATCACAGTGTCACTTCTATGTTTTGTTGGTCGTTTTCGTGTTTGTAGTTTCTATTCGAATCTTTCGGTAACTTAGTTTTTGTTTGGTCAATTTATCCATTGACTAGCACTGTGATTGCAGTATTTGTATTCCAGTGTGATTAGATTTTTCGCGCATTTTTTTGGCGGCCGGTGGAAAGTACCCCTTATTTTTTATTTTTGTCGAAACGTAAAATGTGTGTAGCTTAAAACTTGTTGAGGCAGCATTTGTCCCCCTTCATGTCTTTCCTATTACCATAGTAAGCGTTCTATTAACATATATTTTTATTACGATTCCTTAAGAGTTGACAATTGACTCCTTTGAGCTGACTGTGACGCGCGTTACCGAAGACGCAACACAAAGCAAAAATCTGTTTACCCCTATGTCGTGTTATTCTGATTAAATTGCCTCTTTGCTACATACTTTAGCGTGTTCTCCATCTCTAGTGTTGTTTTATAAGCAGAACTGCTTTTCAAAGTCCGCTAGGCCACAATCTATCTTCTGATGGACAAAAAATTGTAGCAATCGGCACATCATAACAGTATTGTGCTGATGTTTGATTAGTCTCTGAGTCTGCCATCTTCTGAGTGGCACAAATTCGTAAGTTTACCACCAAACACAAGTGACTCTGCTGGCGTCACATTCTGCAATATCGACTTACAGGCAAAGCTCTCTATAAAGGGATCTTCTTTTACATTTATTTTCAATTGCTTCTTTTATAGACGTTCTTTCATAACTTTTTTTCGCAGATTCAAAATTGTTTCTTGTTTTTTTCATACGGAGATACCTCCTTCATAGACAACATTAGAAATCCGCAGTATTACGCATTCGATAGATACAATGATGAGGTGATGCACTGGCATAATTTCCCTTTTTGTAATAAACACCACAGGACGGGTCGCTTATGATATTCAATGGCTTACTCCACTGAGGGCTTTACGACCGGAACAAGTGTATTATTATTATAAATTATAATCGAAATAAGCTTCTATGGTAACACATTTGAGCGTTTAGGCAATCGCTCTTTATTCGTTTTCCTGCTGTTTCCAAAATACTCGAATATTTACAGTACAATGCAGGTGCTCAACGAAATTTTAATTTTACTCCTCTTAACAAATCATAATACATCTTGTTCATCGGTCAGCTGGATTATTTTTTTTAATTGGCAAGTTCTAATTTCCCTTTGCCCGGATACATCTTGCTCAATGTGCAGTTATCTTCCATCTTAGACATGTGACCGTCAAGAACACGTCCCCTCATTGAATTTTCGCCGAATCTATGTTTTTAGGTCCTTTGTTATCTACATCATCAATTATTGTGTCTCCAGGTCTTATAGGCAATTGCTCCAAATTGTTGGTTTCACTTATTATAAATATTTTTATTGAGCACCCCCTTTTTTCGATGGTGTGAGGTTCATTTGTGGGTTAGACATTTTCACCTTTGTGAACATTACTATTATCATTATTTATCGTCCTTACCCTCCGTATTATTATACTTAGAATAACTATAATATGAAATGCATAATATATAATAATCGTAATAATAGTAATAGCGGCATTTATATAGCAGAAAACTTCTTGTATATAGAGATCTAAAAGACTGATCTGCAGATTGTCGTACAACTGCTACGCTTATTGTGCTTAGTGTATTTCTGGTGTATGCTTTGCGCCGAACTTGGATGATATGAATAGTTCAAACGCTAGTTTAGTTATTAAAACATTGGTGACTCTTATTTGAACCGTCACAAAGTTACATTTTAGAAACACAGTTGTTATGAGCACGTCAACCGTTTTGTTAAAATTATTGTCGAGTTCTTGCTGTTGTTGTATCGTTTTGACCACTATCGGAATAATCGCAGCTCTCCCGTTACTTATACAGCTTTGCATTGATATTTTTTATCTTTGCCATATTATCTGCATATAAGGATACTGTTGCCGCTATTAACAACACTATTCAACTGTGGCGTGGACGACATGGATAAAAATAATCGGCAGACGTAGAAACAAATTCAATAGAACCACTGCTTGTTACCTTATTTAGCCGTCCCTCGCATAAATAATTAATTACAAGCTGTATTACATTAGCACACGCACACGTCACGACAGTTGAGTAGATTCCGTGTATACAATCGTTCAACTGAAGCTTTCCTTTTCCACTTTAGTCGGGAGTCCCCGAAGTCAAAACCGTTGATTTTGCTTAACAACAGAGTCAGCACAAAGTGCCGAGACTACGAAATTTTGAAAACAGTGTTCTAACATCTATGCTCAGCAATGTCTAAATCCATCCGTTAGTTTTACTTACTATTATCATTAGCTTAATCTCAATGTCGTATGATTGTTTATAAAACGTGGCGTCATGCTAAGTTCACGTGGCTTCATAGTTTGGCTATATTTATGTATGCATATAATTGTATGGATGCAAGTATCTGTGTATACGCGCGCCAATTTTTAGATAAGAATTTTCATCTTAGCTTCGAACAGCGAAAATATCAAAAATGAATGGATGGATGGATAAAAACTCAGCTGAGTTGTTAAGATATATTTTGCTGATTGGGGAAGAAACAACAGATGTGTGTCTGCGGGTTTCTGTTTGTTGAGTTGTTATCATTATAATATGTCCGTCTATGTTTATTTACATGACCATGAAGTTGGCATAGATGATTTACAAACGTAGTATATATGGAAGATGCGTAGCACAAAATTTGAGAAGTTTTTGTTTCTTTAGTAATTATGCACGTAACTATCGCGAGATTTCTCCATTCTGCAGGCAGCCGTTAATCAGCTCGGCGTACCACCTCATTTTCAACTTTCACTGAGCCCGGCTGCCACATGGGCGTTTGCCACCGGTTTGCTGATAGTAGTAATAATAGTAATATGCTAATATTAGCAATCTAAGTTTCGTCATGGATCTTTATTCCCGTTTCATATCATCTCATCATGTTTTCGGTATTTCCACCCCTGCTGGTGTATTTCTTGCAGGGTAAATCAACCGTGAATATTTAATGAGGACGTTTAATCTGTGTTTCTGCCTGGCGCATCACTCTGAAACCCCTTTTCAACAATCCTAATTTGTAATTCGATGCCGCGTTGCATCATAATTTCTTTCTCGCTGTCTGATCACACTTATTTTATTAGCTTGTCTCTTCATTATGAACTTCTAACTATTATTATGTCACCCAACTTCTATCTTAGCCAGTTGAACACTCTCTCGAAGGTGATCATTATTGGAATATGATCGGTACTTTACAGAGGATTCGTAACATGGATTCCACACTTTCTTTTTGTCCGCTAGCTTCAGCTGGGTTAAAATTGACATCACTAATATATATATACCATTAGATCACTACCGCCCGCCGATACGGTATCACCCCCGTGCCATTTCTTCTTGTCGTGAAATCTTTACATTACTTGATTCGATGCAATCGCTTACGAGACAAAAGCAGATTTGCACAACGATGTCGTTCGATTTCACGGTTACTATTGTGTGTGTCACGGAGGAGGAATGAAACCCTCAACTTTTTTCGATCCTTCACCCCTTCGCTTATACCGTTACATACAGCACAAGACGCCCCCCTCAGGTGTGTTGTTGCCCTTGCCCCACCTGACTACCACTAATGTACATTACATTCAATGGTCACCCATGGTACTAACGCATGTCATTCACTTTTCAACCATCAGACTTCTATACTTTTTCACATCTCAAGCATTCATCGCTTATTTGCCCTCCTTACTTAACCTGATCATTTAGCTCTTTTGTCGGTTTTTTTAGTTGAATTACATTTACCATCCGTGTATGTGTGTCGTGTTTGTGTATTTCTGTTTATTTTCTTTGTTATGGATAATAGCCGTAATGACTGACTCTTCTCTCAAGAAGTCGGCGAACTCGTCATTCGGTTTCCGGCCTTGGTTAAGATCAGGTACGGCACAAATCCATCACAACTATATATTTGAGAAATCTTCCTTCCTTTTTGTTTCTCATATAATCCAAGATGGCATAACCTCATGCCTTTCACAGGTGTTTCTTGTTTTTAACTGCTAATCCTGCCTCTTTTGTGTGTCCCATGCTATGGCTCTCTTAGGTAAAACAGCTGATTGAATCTGCCTTTTGCCTCCATTTCTGTTACACTTTCGTTTGCTGTTTGTTACAGGACTTTTGTACAAGAGTATACAGCATTTACATAACACAGGTGTATTACGCAGACACACATCATACATTTAGCACACTACAGGCAGGCTACAGTTGATTTCTTTTTCTCTTGAATAACCACCATCAACCGCACGGAACCGCGTCCCAACTTGAACGAATTTTACAATAGGGTTTTTAGCAGAAAAAATCTGCACGTATCTTACCTCGAACTTTCCCAGGTAATTATTTAAATCTGAATATTTGTGCTGGTTGTAAGGGCCAGAAATGTGACTCTTGGAAAATTTGACAAAAAAACGTTTGCCAGGTCGAAAAACAAAATAAGAATATAAACATTCACTAATATTACTACTAGGACACACAGTCATGTTGTAACCCTGATTTGCTCATGGACTACCAAAAAAAATCGTATATTGCCACATCAGTGGAGATATACATTGAGACAGACATAGATTAAACATGAATTCACAGGTCACTGAGATCCGCCTATTATTATAATGGAAATATAATGATATCGCAAACAATCCATAGTGTTTGACACTTGATATTAAATTCGATCCACATCGAGCAGAGGGCCCCAGAGGTCCACAGCTTCTAGCTAAAGGGTTAGTTTTACAGCGCAGTACTTGTTTTACAACTCTTCAGAACTATATTTAATTTGGTCAGTTTTAACTTACTGCGTTGGGCGCGGCTGCTGGTTGCACTTCCGTTAGCACCCCCTATTGACATTTACGCCACGACGCTTTCACTTTTAACTTATATACGGATTCGTTGTTCTCACAGCTCTTAAATCATGCGATACTATCATATCACCACGTCTAACTTTTCTATGACAAATTTTTCGTCACTTAGAACTTTAATTAGCTCATCTTCCCACGTATACACGCCTATATACTCACACTTCACGTCTCCGTTTTCTACCTTTGTCTTTTGTTCTCTACGCCTTTGCTCTGCTTCTACTCTGCGTTTCTAACGTTCCATAAACAGCTTCCGAATTTCCGCCAAGCCTTGCAATAGTATATATACGTGTGTGTGTATAGTACTTCTGTAATAATAATAATTAGAATGATGATCGCAATAATAATAACTATACCATGCTACCAAGTCCATGATCTCCCCGCAGTTCTTTTGCCTTTTCACTGTCGAAATCCCGCACGGTCCTAGCTATACGAACCTGCTCCACTATGCGGGCGCCGTAATAAGCGATATGTCGATCACATGCTACGACTCATTTGTCGTGAAGGGCTCAGCAAGGAACAGAGGTCTCGATTCGTTGTAAATAATCAAGAGCAGTTGAACCCTTGCAGCGGCATATCTCGGACTGTGTTATACGTACAATATTCCCTACCTCCACGTCTTTATCCTCTTAATCGCTTCCTGTTTTTTTCGGCACTTTGCAGTACTACTGCCATTACGTCTGAATGCCATTACGTCTGAATTCCTCTTCGAAAGCATGCTTTCTTCTTTTATATTACTTCGGTTCGTACTTGCTACCATATTTTCATTTAATCTCTTTCCGCTCACTCGGTTCACTTTCAGTCCGCAGATGTCTTCATCGTTCAGTTTTAGCGTCATATAAGTATTATACATATGCTTAGTTCTGTGTGTTCTGATAATGCTTCGTTCCGTGTATTCTCATAATAACCCGCCTCTTTCTGCACTTCAGTAGAGGACAATGCGACGATTTTCAAATGGCTTACTTTGAAATCCGAATTATTTGAATCATTTTTGTATCATCCCATTACTCTTTTTCTTCCAAATCTTTATCCTTAGCTTCTTCACCTTGCTGTACATTTTTGCTATCGATCTGTCAGCCTTGTCACCGGCACATACGTACGCATACTGTCTGCATGTATAGAAGAAAATAACCCTAAAAGATGCACTTTTCTCGTAAAGAGCATTCTTCCATCCCACTGGTACTAATCAAGCATCCAATCGGCAAATAACACCCGGTCAAGAAGATCCGTGCATTGTCTGCATAGCGACGAATGCCTGCTTTCAGGGTCTAGCGTCCGACTCACCTACATAGCACACCTTGGTGTATGATGTCTCTCATGCATTTCGTATGGTAATTCGTACATGCACTTTTCCGCGGATAAGTTTTCCAGCTTTTACCTTATCTTCATTCGCGTCCATTGTCGATGTACCAATATCGATCATTTCTGTTTCTCCCTCTTCCCCACCCCTCTTTACGCTCGCTTGATTCGGGCAATAAACCCGTCCTGAGGATACAGACCTTCAGCGTCCACTTCTGCTTTACTTTTGTACAACTTAGCTGGAACTGCGAGATCGCCAATATACATCTTACACTTAGCATCCTTCTCCGTGGGCACGGACGATAGAAGCGGCAGTAGCGGAAACAAGACAATATTGGCAAGATTCGGTGAATAGAACGGCGGATCTACTAGAAGTACCGTGGTCCAGGCACGTTTTCCGCACTGGTCTAGATACGGGTGAAGCGAACAGCCCACGACAATGTCGACGGCACTGGTCGGCGGATGAGATGCGTCAACCACCTGGACTCCAGCCAGTTCGGCAAGCTCGAGCTCCGTACGGAACGCAGCGTCTTCTGCTGTTACCGAGCGGGTCGTCATCACGTAGATGTTCGGGACCTTTCCACCGGCTAATTGACGTGCAGCGGTGGTTCCGCTGTTGTCAATAAAAGTAAAACAAAATGTGTAACAATAATGGGAGTTTCAGAAATGCGAGGTGACCAATTAAGAGGGACACAGAAATTAAATGAAAAGCAGTTGTGTTAAAAATGTTTTTGAAACATGTATAATACCACTGCGTAATAATTACCAGCTTAACCAGGTAACGTTTAGGAAAAGTTACCAGCATCCGCTTAGTTTTAGAGACAAAAGTTGTGGGCGAATTTGAAAGCGATTTCATCATGCTTAAAGATTTGCATAATTTGCCCTAGGTTTAAACAACGCCATTTAGCATTGATATAGATTCTATGGCATACCAAAGCGAGATGTTTAGCGGCGCAGATACTTTCTCTGGCGAAACGACGAATACGACCGTGTTACGGTTATTCTGTTGTAAAATTAGGCTGCAAATATTTCTGGCAGTTGCTTCGCGCAGACAGTCAATAGAGAGCCCACGTCGGATTGCCTCGGACAGGATGGCATCACGTGTAGACCGAGCTACAGCAGGGACTTTTGAACCTGAATCTACAAAGAACAAATCAAATTCAAATTCACTACTTTAAAAGACGTTTTGTTTCAGGTCTCAATTCAGCTGCAGCACCAAGCAGACGTTACGCAAAAAAAAGCGCCATTTAACAGTAAAAAGAGACCTGAGATCAAATTTGTACCGCTTCTATTACCATTCTGTCGTTGTCATCAGGTTCGGAAACATATTTTCATTGGTGGAAACACTGGCACCACATTTCATAGCTCGGTCATTCGAATACGCACCGACGTTGAAAAGAACGATGTTGTGGCGTTTTTGATCATCTCGTCTAACGACCTTGTCGGAATTGGCGATTACGTTCTCATCATGACGGTACTTTTTCTCTTTGCGAACGTTGCAGTCAGTCAAACGAATCACGTTTTCGCCAGCATGAGCCCGGTTAATTTCTGCAAAGACTTTCTCTTTGTTGAAAAGTTCAAGGTTTTTCTCAAAGTCGAAGTCTTCCTGCAACGAGACTTCGTCACTCGCGCCACCAAAACACTCTTTGTCCCTCCGGGCACGAGAGGTAGAGAACGAATTCGAGATCGTCCGCTGCCGTTGAACCCGCTGACCATCTTTGTCAAGACGAGGAGTCTTCAGTGGTGAACGGCCTCCACAACTGGGCGAGCTGCGTTCTTTGAGAACGGGTGAACCCGAAAGCTTGTTCACGAAGCGGATGTTCGCAATGTCCGCCGCCCTATTGAGAATCGACGACGAGATAGAGCAAAAATAAATTCAGTTATTATGATTAGATCCATAATAGCACTCTAACGGGTTTGGAGGCTGAATGAATCACGTGGCCAAAGCAGTCCACAAAATTCACAATATTATTATATTCAAAATATTAATGAACACGACTATAGTTTTAAAACTAAATGGGTTGCGTCATGGGGTTGAAAAAAGGTTTTTGAAACTTGCGTTATAGTATATACAGCCTAATAATAGATTTTTTTTTAAATACTGTTTGCATTTAAAGCATTCAATCCGGAGCTTTCCACACAAATATGCTATTGAGATCGCATTAAATATTTATAAAATGGGAGCTTCAAGTAACTAACAGTAAATGGCATATGAATGGCTCTGATATTTATAACACTATACCCAAGAAAATGGTAATACGACACTTACGCAATGACAACTTCAGGGTGAACGAGTTTCTTGCCATCCTTCGATGGATTTCTGATGGCCACCGATTGATCGCGTTCATCGATGCGATCGATCACTCCCCGATAGATGCCTAATACTGAGCAATCAATCTCGACAAGCGCCCCCTCGTATTGGACGCAGTCTCCACTCATCCCTCCGCCGTGTATATTTATATTTTCCCGTTACCAGAATATCTAAGGAAATTTAAATAGCGCATGAACAATTATAGGGATGCTTATAGGAAGAAACGCTAACTCCAGGTGTCCAATTTCCAATGTTTCTTATCAACAGACGATGTTAATTAGAAAGAAGAAACAACCATGGAAAATATAATATTTCACATTTCAAACCACTAATTGTTGTGCCAACGTCGATGGCTCATTTCCCAAAGTCCCAATAGCTCGGTCTTTACCGGGGTTGTTTTGAACAAGAGACTAAATAAAGTGTGGCAACAACGAGCTCCAACATATTGTCACCTCTGATCATAATTTAGTTAAAACTATCTCATATACATTCTATATTGTTTAACGTGAGCTCAAATTTTTTTTTTCTATATAGTTTCATTTATCAAATACGTTACCCTTATTAACCTTATAACAATTGGATTGTGCTGTTGTAATTCAGGCGGCTCCTTCATCTGCTTAGCACTTCATTTTGTTCATCGAATTCATATATCAAATGGAAGCTCGGTAGCTCCAGAGTATAAGAAGACTCGACGCCAGATGGCACAAACCGGCGTAGATCTTCTTACTGTACTAGTTTTGCCATTACATAGTGATGCGGCCAGAAAGATATGATTCGATCGATTGAACGACGTGTCCCATTTACTCTATCGCATTCTCATTCGTTTAGTGGGCTCTCTCTAACGGTAGATGAACCTGAATAATGAAAGGGTGGCATATAGTTTGTTGTAGCACAATTAGAGCGAACAAATAGTTCTGCTTGGAATAAACGTGGTTGTTTTATTTACTGTTTGATTGAGTTTTCGAATAATCGGGTGTTCTGTTAATATTTTGTTATGCATTGCTGTGAACAAAAGAGAACGTACAATGATACGTGTGGATACCAAGCATTTACGAGCTGCAGTTTTCAAAAAACGACTATGTTTGTCCGAATTCAGTTTTCTCACTAGATTACTAGTTGTCTGTTGTACGGTTGAAAAAGTCGAATTCTAGTAAGCTTAGTGGGTTCGTGATAGCTTAGTAGTCAACGTATTTGCCTGGTAATCTTGGGTACACGTTGCGGTCTAGATTCAAAACCTAGCATAGACAGACAGACTTTGTTTCGTGCTCGGAGTCAGCCGTCTGATGGAATTATGCCTAACGGCTATAATACCGAATAAGACTCGAAACAGAGTTTTAGTGGGCTAAAGCTATGAAGAAAAAAACAATCTATATAATACTTAAAAATAATGAGTACATGAGACTGAAATAAAAGAATAACATGATGGACCCTCGATAACTCAATGAACATCGTAGAAGCAACAATGACACAAACGTAACGGTTACCTCTTAAAGGGTTACCAAATAAGTTATATATGAAAACCCTCATCTAGCAATAGCTGATAGTGAAGATTTCACGAGTCCAGTAGTAGTTAATAATATGAATAAGGTAAATCCATTGACGGTGAAATAGCTGGTGCTCTGAGATAAAAAGTCAATTGTGCAATTTTTTTCTATGCTTCGTTGTTTTCTGAAGGACAAAGACCCAAAAAGCGAAGTCACGACACCGCAGGTTAGGCCCTAACATCATTTACGATCATACCTTCAGTAAAACATTTTCTTCGTGATTTTCATATCGTGTAAGATAGAATTCAGACCAAGCACTGACTCAATTTGTACGTAAATATTAAAAGACAAAAATCTCTGATCAGCTTTCACGGCACCCGAAGTTGCCAAATAATTTTACTTACATGATAATAATAACAACTGTGAGAAACCAATGTGGACAATTGTGGAGTGTACTTCTAATGTTATTGCGTGGTACTACAAGAATCCACAGGCACGGGCCCAAACAGTGTGGCTATCGTCCATACACACACGTCATTGATCATCACCACGGAAGCCCTGCGGTCAGATTTCATACTTACGAGCTAGGCGAAGCCAGGCTAAGAAATAAGGCTTTAGGTAACCAACAGATTGAAAATTCACCATAAAGCTGGTTCACGGTTGCAGAAACAAGAATTCTAACATACTACAGAAACATACGTGCCAGGGCAACAACGGCAGAACGGCCCCAGTTCAATGATTATATCAAAAAAGATGCAACTGCAAATATATTCTAACCAGTATCGCATCCTGAATTCGGTAACGACAACACGAACCTCGACCAGGACATGAAGTCGATCAAACTCACCTGCTGTTGCTGGTTAAAGGGTCTACTATAACCACGACCAGCCTATGGGTAGTCTTCGTTGCCACATAATACCACAATGGCTCCTACACAGCACAACATAGGAGTCAAGCGGAGCCTTATTATTACTCGCCACAAAGTGTGGTTTGCCTGATTACCACACGGAAAGAAACCTACCTTTATTAGCCAACCCAGGCGGACCTTCAACACGGTTAATATCTTCGTCCTAAACGAGCTAGGTCGTTCCGTAACGACACTAGTACGATAGCGCCCTCTCGATTGGTCGCTGGAAACTTCGGAAATTCGTGAAACGCAGCTGGTTAAGACGCAGAAATCTTTGTTGTCTAAGGGAGCCATGAACATGCGTTCATTCGTTTTGATGTGTGCCTGGATGTGGCGGGAGTTTTTAACATGCTTTTTTTTTGTCGCGTGGCACATCAAATAATGCTCAACGGCTGAAGTGTCAAACGTAAAACACGTTAAACATATTTAGTCAATGGTCAGAGCGCCAGCCCCGAGTTTTGCTTTGCTTCTGGTTTGATATTAACCACGCTTTATTTTACCTTTTATTTATAATAAAGGTAACGTTGAATAGCGGCGAACTGTTCCCTAATCTGTTTCCATAACCTAATCCATAGCCAAATAGCTTTTTCTATATATATAATTTTAAAATAAAACAGTTCATCGCGTGACACAAATTGAGCGCCCTTGCTTTCGTAAAACATTCTTCGCACCGAAAACATATCAGCACAGACGATGCTAATGGCTGCCTTGGTGTTTGTAGATACTGATGCGGCGTTTAACCAAATTATTGTCACGCTCAATGGAAAAAGAAACCTTTTCCCCCTAGAGAGAAAAGTAGTCGGGTTCATCCTTTGCATCCGCCTTATTAGGAGAAAGCTTTGGTGACTCACAACCAATTAGGACATTGTGTGGCCTTCGGGGAATCGTTTTCGATCAGGCGTACTCACGCTCTAATTTAATAGTATAGAATAAATAGATCAACTCTTCAGGAGTTTGTGAAAAACGAAGTAAAGGATGTTCAAACTGAGACAAATTGGGATATTCTGAAATACTATTCTTTGACTAAAGGTGCAACAGCAAGCTTACTCTGTGCCACGTTCAAATCAAGCGTTTAACTGCTATCAGTAATGTAAGACAATACACCGTTAGATAAAAGAAAAAAACAGTAAACTACCACAACCCATTCTATTTCAGTTTACAGATTTAATTTTTACTATTATTCTTAGGTTGCAGCTAATATTAGTGCAATTCTGTAGTCTATTTTTAAATAACTAATCATTCTTGCTTCGATTTTCACTTTGATGCCCCAGAACATACAAAATAATAAAATAATGTTTTTAAAAGGAGCAGTGGACGGCCATGCTGCCTTGGTGCGATGACACCGGCCACATTCCGACGTATGGTTTAAGCACCACTAGAAAACGTTTTCAAATAAACAGAAAAATAAAAAGAAATCAAGTTTTACCATTATGTGTATCATGCAGCTTAGGAAATTATGGGAAAATACGCTTTTGAATCGATTACTACTAATTATTTTAAACAGTAAATGCGTACGTCTTCTTTTTTACAATTCGAATTATTAGATAAGCCAATATGATGTTTCAGCAACCTGGCTCGAATCAAATAAAACGTAAAAATAACAATCTTCTAAATATACTGCTCTGTTAAAAATAAAACAAAATTTGACTTTTCCTAGCCATGTCTTCCTGTACAAGTAGAGTTTTAACGTCATTTAACGCAAACAGTATAATTTTGCACTTAAAATGCTTCTCATGTATTTGGCTAATGATTTTTTCTAGTTTGAAGTGCCAACGAAGCTCGATTGAGTTGTCAATTGTATTAGCCTAGCTAGACTTTCCTAGAAAAAATACGTGTACCTAGAAATAAATCTGTCACCTTCGAGTGTAAAGCTGGATCAATTGCAATCAGATGTTTACAACGTATTTATTTTCTAGAAGACCACTTTTGGTGGTTGTTGTCGAACCTATATAATCAGTGACCTAGCATGGTTACAAACGAGTTTTTGTAGTGAACTGATATCAATGTGTTTACAAAGATTCAGGAACCATTGTAAAACTTAGCGCCAGGGTATTTGTTAGAGCCAGACAACCTTGGAGCTATTAATTTTCATGTGTAGCAGTAGCATTAAAACCCTTTTGCTTATATTTATAGAATTACGACAAGCAATTCGTTAACTTAATCTGCATTATGTTGAAAACTAAAACAAAGGTATTTGCAAAATTAGGTGGTTGGCCTCGTATTTCGCATTTAAGGAAAGTAACTTATGCTGCAAATCCGACATTTAAGAGAACTCTGATGACAGAATGATTGTTTCTAAGACTACCTGTGCCTGTTTCTAATCTGTGTAAACTACATGAATCTCGATATCGATATATTGTCCATATGTGCTATATGCGACTTCCTAATACAACGCAATTCATATATCCTTCAAAGATTGACGCTAAATTGCGCATAACGTTTAATACCTCCTTCTTGGACATAGCTTTGTTACAATGATTCTGTCATATGGAAGTGTCATGGAGCTTTACAACTAGAACGTCCGCGCTCCTTGAGGTATTTTTTTTAATGCGAAAGGGCAATTGAAGCATTATTGACCTTAAGTCTCGAGTTTTTCTGGTTTTTTTTTCTTCTGAGTTTTAAATTGGTGCTAGTTTTCCATAGTTTCTACAGCAATCCCACTTACAATTTCTATACTAATATCAAAAGAACTTGGTCTCGGTTCACTGATTTGATGCATTATTTTCACTGCTGGCTAGGGATTTATGCAAGAAGTCTTTTTCCAATTCTAGAGTGCAAACTCATCACAAACAAATTACGCAATACTAATATACCTAATTCTACGAAATGGAAAACAAGCCTTTCTCGTTTTTTGGTCCTTGACCATTTATTTGCAGTCCTCCGATGACGTTGATTTCGATGAGTACGGCTTCCGCCGCGTAGATCCCTTTCCCAATATATATATATGATATATTCAATAACCCCAACCTGAAGTCTTACCACAGCTTATGTTGAATGGCCTTTTTACGGTCTTTGGCCCAGACCAAAAAGCCCTAATGTTTGTCTGTTACCTCTGTGTTTTAAGCGTGCTGTAAATTGTGTGTTCTTCTTTATGTTGCTGTCAAATGTGAATAGTCTGCTACCGATCTAACACTGACTTCCTCTTCGAAACGATCTTCGTGTTCTTCTTTCAGGATCCTCCAGGCAAATAGGCACCTTGGCCCAAAAACAGATTACCTAGTTGATTGTGAGTAGTTAGGATTAGGGTAAAGGTATTTTTTGTACACGAATAGGGAATCAAGGGGCAAGGACAGAGGGTTAGTGAGAGTTCAACACCGACAGGATAGATAAGAGGGAACGATAGCAAGTTTTTTGAACGGACAAGTGAGCAGAACTATTGTCAAAACATCGGTCAAGAGCCTTTGCCCGCTTGAGGCAAGGCAACACCGAACAATTCTACGTGAAGAAGGTCAACGTTCGGACTCGTAAGTTGATTGTTATACTGACAATTGCTGCTCACCGGTCGCGCGGGCTTCGCGGCGCGATACGTACCATGACTTTGGGGACTGGCCTGATACGAGGTACCAGGCAAGGCTGTGGCACCCGTGCCCTGGGGGAAGAGTGAAGAGATAGCGTCCGTTCCGGTTGGCAGCGAGGTAGCGGCAGAAGCGGGTACTATTGCACCCGTTGGTGTCGCGCCTTCTTCCAGGGTGATGATCGGTTTGATGTCTGTTAAAGCCAAAGAAGGCAATAGCCATTAGGAATCAAAACTGAGGTGGGCATTAAAAAACAATTTTAAATAAAACTTTCCTATATTTCTTGAAAAACTATAACGAAATCAAGGGCTTACCCAGTCCGTCAGGTATGAGGGGGTTGTCCGGTCCAGTCGAATTGTTCATGTCCGTCGAGTTGTCGGTCCCATGATCGGTCGTCATGGAAGCCTCTAATAGGCGGGTGGGTTCAAAGTCAGCGTCCTTCGAAGAAGAATTAGGTCCGTTTGTGGTCGAGTTTCCATTGTTAGCCGGGGCGGATGAAGATGAATTATTTACAGTTGCGGCATTGCTTTGTACATTGGAAGTTTCCTTCTCTCCTCTCGCTTGGCCAGAAGCCTGTGACGGCGTCTGCGAGTGTTGCAGGGACGCCTGAGATCCGTCGTCGAGGGAGGTGGCTCCGTCCATCGACGAGTCGTCGTGCTCCGTACGGCTGGCCTTCGGAACAGACTCTTCGGAGTCGCTATGGCCTCCGGCCGAATCTGTACTCTTGCGTCGTACCCGCTGCCGTTTACGCCGCGATCCCGGCGATTCGGGGCGTGGCGTCACCGACGCGTGCGGTTTGTCCTCGGACTTGCCCTCGCCGGTGACTTCTGCGAGGCCCTTGATCTTCAACGCCTCGGCCGTCTTGAGCAGCGTCGGAAGCTGCTCCTGTACCACGTTCACCTCACCCTTATACATGAATTCGACTAAAGCTTTGAGATCGGCGTATCGAATATCTTTCAATATCACAATTGGGTGTTTGCAAGGGTTTTCGGTGAACAAATTCTCGAAGAACGGACTACAGGCTGATAGCACTACTTTGTGTGCTTTCACCTGCCGCCCTTCGCAGCCTATCGTTACGTCCACCAGGCTCTTGTTGGACAGCAGTCGGTCGAAGACCGACAGCATGTTGGCCTGGTGGTTGTTCCATTTCAGGCAAAATTGTTGGGCGTTTGAACCCATCTCGACGGATTTGTGGGCTCTGCAACAACAAAACAGAAAATTATTAATTCTCAGAATACACATTTACAATTAATCACTACAAATCCATCGACATGTTATCGGTTTTACTAAGACCGTAGGTGGCAATTACTTCTACGTTTGCAATGTCACTAAGACCATACGTAGCCACTATGAGCGAACACCGATGCCCTGTAAGTTAGGCTTAACTGCACACAAAACCCAGTCGATCTTAAACTTACTCCGAGCTACGCCGACAAGCATCAAGATCACATTGATCTTTCATCTATTTACTTATCGGCAAAGGGCCACAAGTTGAAACCTCAGATACAAATCTCAACAACCACAATTTACTGGATGACTTCGTCATCGCGACAGGCATTAAACCACAGCTACTTACCGGCTCAGCTACCGCAACATTTCACAACTCTGCTGGCCTAAGAGCTCTCGACTAAACCAACGCTCGAAGTAAAGTGTGGAGAGGCTGGGTCGTTCGTTGGATTTTGTGAGCCCGTTGGCGACTTAGCGGTGGCGGGTTGAGTCGCTGAGCGGAACGAGAATTCTGCAGCGACCTCTGGCGGCTGCTCCGACAGATTAACCCTGATCGAGTCGGTGGGCTGCTGGCTGTTGGATCGAGCCGACTACAAGCCAGGCAACAACCCGCATAGGATGGTTCCAACGAAGAGGCCCAACAGACGAGAAAAAGGTTTTCTTACTAACACTCTGCTAAGCCGGCAGTCCAAGCCAACCCTGTTCTATTGCACTGCAGTGCCCAATTGAGTCCAGCAGCGGGATGCGGAGAAATTGCTCGTCACGAAAGCCTGCTCTATGTGGTGCTTGTGGGTAATGTTCTTACTGCGGGTTCTTGAATCAACCCCGGTCCGGTTCTCTTTGGTATACTATCAAGTCGATGGCGGGTGATACCACTTGATGCAAGCAAGTAATATGTTGTAGGGATTCGCATGGTAACTTTATCGTGATATTGATGGTACACATGTTAAAAGTATAAACGAGTATTGACTTACAAAGATATACATCATTTAAATAGTGGGTTAAGCACATTGCTCGATTACTAGATAGAAGTAGTAATATGAATAAACGAGATTTATTGCATCCGAAGGGAACCAAAGCCATGTTCTTTACTCAAATTTGAAAGCAAAGTTTTTTTCACAGTTAATAGAATAAAAGTTTTTTTTTCTAAAATAAACAAAATTCCATGTAGAATTCGGCTGTAAAACAACAATAGATGCTAAAACTATCATTATTATGACGTTTTATAACACACAGTTAAGCCAAGTCGCTTGGTAACGCCCTGAAATCGCTCTACAGCTCGAAAGCGACAGGGTACTTATCACAACTTGAATACGTCACAAATATGTGGTAAGTTACAGCACGTTAGCAACTATTATTGTTCACAAAAATACAAGCATAGACAAATCTGTAAAACGGATTAAAGAAATATTTCCAGTTTGTTTCCAATTTTTTATCAGGGCCTTAAAAATATTAAAAAAGATACATCGATCTTGCATACGTTTTTCTAAAATAGCTATTTGCATGGCTATCTGATGCGAAGAAGCAACTGAAATCTTATATTTACATGTTTCGTACAAAAAATAAGTATAATGACTCCGAACACATTATAATCCACGAATCTGATCTACCCTTTCCGATTCCCAATGAAATGCATATACCTTGGAAAAATAATTAATCCGTCTCCTTCCATCGGTTGCTAATTAGCGAAAGATCTGTAGTTATATTGCCTCTTAGCAATGAACAGCTTTAAAAATAAATGTTTATATACTGCGCAATTTGAGCTAATTGTTCTAACCGTGATTTCAGGAGTGTATGGTTGTAGAATTTAAACCGTGAGATATTCTTTCTTTTATATATTCACCATCCAATTAATTCAAATCATAAAAAGGTGTCTACTACGTATTGGATCGAACTTGTACTGAGCTCAAAAGATCAGAAATCAGCCTCGGATATGTAAAATTTGAACAACTACCTATTATTCATTTATGATTCCTTTTAGGTCGTAAATTTTAGGCAAAAAAATGACTGCAAATAAGAGCTGTTATCAGTTTTGAAAGTCGCCTAAATCGCTAGGACATTTCAAGAGTTCGACATTGTCAATATTAATTTATAGAAGCTTATCAAATTTAATTGCGTAGTATATAGTAATATTTCCGCGTTAATCATACAAATCAACGTCTCCATTTTCCCCCCATAAGTAGGAAATAAATTAATTTATTATCGAATGTGAAGCTATGGCGTTCGCCCCATACATATGAACAATGCTCTTGTTACGAGGCGGCTTATTATTTTCGTTACCTTCGCTAATTTGATCTTTTAAAGTAAATTCTATATTGCAGATCTTATCTGAATTTAATAGATGCCCGTGATGGCTTTGTGATAATGGATCGAAATCGGTAACACGGCGCCCTGAATACGTTATGTCAAAATCACTAGAGCGATTTGAAATGATTATGTGAACTCCTTGTGTCTACTGACTGAAGCGTAATACAAGCGGCTAAACGATTATTTCAAACAACGATAGGATCTCCATGGATGCTTTCTCTGTAGTCATCTCATATAGTTCGATATAATGCAGTACTACTGTAGATAGCATCAAACGAGTAATGTTAGGTACGGTTCCTCAAGAATGAATAATTTCGAGGGAGATGCTATGAGTTAGTAACTTTCATCGCCTTATAAAAATTCCAGGCTTCTGCCATTAAGGGGCCCTAGATAGTAATAACCGTCTACTGCGTTTGCACTTTCTAAAGGTATTGACGATTCATGCCAATAATACAAATAGTCTGTGCTACAGTGATTTAGGTCAAAGAGATTCGGCAGAAATTTGGTATGAAAGTATGACTGGTTATTGTCTTTAACAGGAAAGTTCTGTAGACATTTTATGTATGTATAAGTGAAAAAATATTTAATATAATTTTTTCATATCTACTCCAGTTGCTACAAAGAATAACGTAATATTGATTTTCTATTGTAAGCACTTCATATCAAGTTGTGAAGTTAAATACAGCCTTTTATCTTACTGAAGAGATGCCCAAACGCTAGCGTATATGATTATCCGTTTTTGATTCTCATAACAATATTCACACCATAATTGTGTGATCTACTAACAGTAATCATGTGATTACATCTAGTAATTATACTAGGTTGATCTATTTTACTTGGTACATAAATAAATGCGCTTGTGAATGAGACTAAAACAGAGCAAGAAATTAAAGTTTTGTCTAAAATATAGAAAACAGCGAAAAAACGTAATTGTATTAATAGTATGAAAACATATAAAGAGCAAATGCATTGTTTTTTGAGCTGCCTAGGTGTTAGCCATATGAAAATATTGTTGATTCGATTACTTCTCGCGGTCATGATTGATCTGACTGTGCACCTAGTTTTCAAATTATATGTCTTTACACCAAATAGTTTATCAGTTTATCTATAGTCTATTTAATCGCTTGTACATTTTAAAATTAGCTAGTCTTTGTAAGTCCAATACTGCTAAGAAACTACCTGTGTTACAAATCACAAATGCTACAGCGTAACGCGATGTAATCAATGTTTAAAAAGCGAAGCGCAGTTATAAATGGGTTGTGATTAGTTGTGTCTGTACTTACCGAGCTGCAGCGTACTTGTGCACCAAAACAGGCGCTATATGATGTATTCGTTGAATTTAAATAGCAACTTCAAGCTTCGTGCTGGGATAGTATATTAGTAAGGCTTACACAATGTGGAGTCCCTCAAAACATGTAGCATCTGATCAGTGCGTTTCTACAAGGAACTCTGTTAGCATAAAAGATAAAGTAATCGATCTCAACCGGTTCGTCCAATCGGTATAGCACAGGCTAAACTGAGGCTACTGCTTTTCTCTTTGCTGCTAAATTCTCTGTATCTCCGACTTCCAGATTCAGCGGGACACGCTGCTTTATGGCGACAATATACTCATCTTTGGAAGGAGTAGGTTTTATGTGCATTAAGTTTTTGCAAGACCTTCGTTATACATTGGTGACGCGGCACTGGTGATCAACATGAACAAAACGGAGACCATAGAGTTTCGTCAGGCCCTTTTCCTGCTACCAACAATCTCCATATAGACAAAGCGGCCTTGCAATTCATGATCAGCTTTGGCACTTGGATGCGATTTTGCCTACGAATGGCTAAGCATTTGCAGAGTAAATCACGGAACAAAGTGACGGTGGCGTGTATGTAAGAACGAACTTCCTCAATATTTTCTTTACGAACGCCGCTGACACTGATTGGAAACTAGGATGGCGGTCATAGCTTTTCACGAGATTCAGATTGTAAGGAAGCATCTTTCCGGCGCAATTGAAAAAATTCGACCAATTTAAACTTGTGGTCCTAATACGCACTAAGATGTTTAATTTAGAGCACCTAAAGCGAAGATTTTTCTGGCCTATAAAATTGAAAATTCGCTGTACGCTGAATGTAGCATCTATGCTATATATATATAGATAGATATATATAGCATAGCATACAGCGAATTTTCATTTCTCGGACGCGATAGATACACGTACCTATACAAGATGTGGGAAACTAGCAACCTGACAGTAACATGGTTTGCAAGGTGGTCAACGGCCCACATATTTTCTGTATGTGCATCTATGGATTCCTGCAGTTTAAGTACGATAGAAACGAAATGATTGTTGAGTATTAAGCGGTTACGAGTGGCCACTACTTTACCAGTGACCACTTCTAGCCTAACACAGGTTTCCGATGCACCAGTTTTTTGCGATAATCCCATCACAGTAGAATCAGATTAACATCGAGTTTGTAGTACTTTGAATTTAACGCAATGTTTAGCACATTAGCACCCTCAAATGCTCTACCTGAAGCAGCCTATCTAATGCTCTATTTGAAACAGCTTAAAAGCAGTGCAGGTGGCTTAACGCTGTTGAGATTTCACTTTTTCCCGGAAAACTACTATCCCCCTCACTCGTATTTGAAGAAAACTACTTTACCCCCCTCATAGATCAACCTTACTTTACCCCGTCATAGATACACAAGATGCAAGATACACAAGATTGCAAAGATGAATATATATATATATATATATAATAACATACAAAACATTACCTAAATATGCAGTACATTGACAATGACAATGAAAAATACCAAATTAAAAACATCGTTTTCTTGGTCTTCCACCATTTATTTTAAAACATTCTCGACAAACGCAGCTCTCGCCGCTTACCCCTGCCCAATATAGACATGTGTATATATATATATATATAGAGAAACGCCCCGAACCTTCTTACCATGTTGAACGGCCCATTTACGGTCCTTGGCCCGGACCAAAACTCCCTACTGTTTTGTCTGTTACCTCTGTGTTTTAAGCGTGGCGTAAATTGTGTTCTTCTTTATGTCGCTGTAAAATGTGGATAGTCTGTTACCGATTTAACACTCGACCTCCTCTTCGAAACAATCTTCGTGTTCTTCATCCAGATCAAGCAAATAGGCACCCAGGCCCAAAATAAATTACCTAATTCGTTTTGATTCTTAGTCAGGATTAGGGTAAAAGAGTTTTTGTACACGGATAGGAATAGGACAGGAGTTTTTATACACGGATAGGAATAGGACAGAAGGGGAGGTTAGAGAGCTTTACACACCAATAGAATACAACAGAAGGACGATAGCGATGCTACTGAGTGACTCGTGAGCAGAAGTAGCTACGTTTACAAATTTTCTCTACCCAAACGCATTTGCCAGCTAAAATATAGAAGAGATGCGTCAGCCGATGCTGAGCCTATAGCAAAAGAATCCCAATCACCGAATCGACTAGAAAAATTTCTGGATATACAGTAGCAACAACAGCTGCTCACGAGTTTTTCGCGAGGCGACGCGGCGCGATACGTACCATGACTTTGGGGACTGGCTTGATGTGAGGTGCCAGGCAAGGCCGCAGCACCTGTACCCTGGGGGTAAGGAAAGAGCGAAGAGATGGCGTCCGTTCCTGTTGCCAACGACGTAGCGCCAGAGGCGGGTACAATCCCGCCTGTCGGTGTCGCGCCTTCTTCCAGGGTAATAATCGGCTTGATATCTGTCAGAACCGTAAGGGAGCGGTTATGATTGAAACATGTGATGCACATGAGAGAATCACTAAGGGTCTCAGTTAAGAGTGTTAACATAGGCAATTTGCTTACCCAGTCCGTCAGGCAATAAAGGGTTTTCCGGTCCAGTCGAATTATTAAGGTCCGTCGAGTTGTCAGCCCCATGGTCGGTGGTCATGGAAGCCTCCAATAAGCGGGTGGGTTCAAAATCAGCATCCTTCGAAGAAGAATTAGGTCCATTTGTGGTCGAGTTTCCACTGTTTGCCTGGGCGGATGAAGATGAGTTATTTACAGTGACGGCGTTGCTTTGTACATTGGAAGTTTCCTTCTCTCCTCTCGCTTGGCCAGAGGCCTGTGACGGCGTCTGCGGGTGTTGCAGGGACGCCTGAGATCCGTCGTCGAGGGAGGTGGCCCCGTCCATCGACGAGTCATCATGCTCCGTACGACCGGCTTTCGGAACAGACTCTTCAGACTCGCTTACGCCAGCTGCCGAATCTGTGCTTTTACGCCGTACGCGTTGCCGTTTACGCCGCGAACCCGGCGATTCCGGTCGTGGGGTCACGGATGCATGTGGTTTGTCATCGGACTTTCCTTCGCCCGTCACTTCAGCGAGGCCCTTGATCTTTAATGCCTCGGCTGTCTTCAGCAGCGTTGGTAGCTGCTCCTGCACAACATTTACCTCACCCTTATACATGAATTCGACTAAAGCTTTGAGATCGGCATATCGAATATCTTTCAATATCACAATTGGGTGTTTACAAGGGTTTTCGGTGAACAAATTCTCGAAAAACGGACTACAGGCTGATAGCACTACCTTGTGTGCTTTCACCTGCCGTCCTTCGCAGCCTATCGTTACGTCCACCAGGCTCTTGTTGGACAGCAGTCGGTCAAACACCGACAGCATGTTGGCCTGGTGGTTGTTCCATTTCAGGCAAAATTGTTGGGCGTTTGAACCCATCTCGACGGATTTGTGGTCTGCAATTCATGAGACAAACGATACGAAACTCAGTTTTACTTGCACAGCACTACCAAAAGCAACGTAAGCTCAAAATTGAACGATGACTCAACAACTTCACTACCCAATTGAACCATCTGAACTAAACCCTACTTCACGTTGCAAATCGCAAACATTTCACATATATTTTTTGATCAAATACTTAAAAGGATGCAACACAAGTATGCAGGATTCGCCACGAATACTTAAATATACCTAAAATTGTAGATACATCGACATAATTTCATGAGTGTTGCCAATGAATTACTCTATTTGTTTTAAGCCTATAATAACACCGTCGTAACACTAGCTCGCCAGCATCAGAGCACAACCATACCGGACCATACAACACATCGTCGCTAACGAATGATCGCGCAAACAACCACAAAATAAAATAGGTAAGCCTACTTACCGGCTCAGCTACCGCAACATTTCATAAACTTCGCTGGCCTGAGAGTTCTTGACTGGACCAACGATTAATGTAGAGTGTGATGCCATTCCATTAATACGAGCTTTTGTATAAAGCGATGGCTGGTTAGCGGCTAGTACTTGCAGCGGGAGACCAGCAGAGCCATCTAGCGGATCTCATCGACAACGAGCGCCTGCCAGCTGTGTCTCGGTGCAGGCTGGAACCGTTTCAACGAAGAAGCAACGGCGAACCGGGGTTGAGAGCCGCTTAATGCAATTCTATCGATAGCCACAAGCCAGTTCGTAAGCGCAGGGACGTTCTTAAAGTGGTATCGCCAAAGGTTCTTAGAGTGCCACAGCACCACAAGAGTGCCAGAGCACCACAAACAAGTTTTGTCGCACAGATTTATGCACGCGTGGAAGACGCGTACGAATCGAGAAAGACCCAAATATTTCTATTTTTAAAGAGATCAATGTGTTTTATTTGCGATAAGAACTTGCCAGATTCCTGCCTGTATCTAGCCAGTGCTATATTATTTTATTAGGTGGAATCAATAAACGTTTGTCCATGTAATAGAATATATAAAGCAGGAATAGATTAGCATACTATTTTATGAAATATTCCCACTAAGCTAATACAAAATAGTACAGGTATAACAATCCCGACGTACGATGACGCGATAGTACATTTTACATTTAGTTTTTGTATTAGGTAGGCATATAACTGTTCTCATCAATTTTAGTGTAATTTTATTTCGATAAAGTGTTTTTACTTGAACGTCGGTACAAGTATTAAAAAGCTAATCAACCATCACATCGGTAAGTATTGTTCGAAACTTTCTGGTCATTAGAAGCAGCCAAGCGAATTCAACAACCGTCCTCTCTATGAAGCAGCGTTCGCAGGGAGCTTCTTTCCGCTATGTCTTGACGTCTGATCCGATTTTGCTAAACCCGCCACGCGCTCGGGTTTTACCGCTAAAATAGCGGGGGAATTATCTCGCCTCAAAAATGATAACCCGCCTTAGTGACGTCTATATCTTGGGGCAGACCTGCTCGAACCGAACAAAAACTGTGGTAACCGAACCATTTTTGGATGTAACCCCAAGCTACCAATTAGGAGTTATATAGCGCATAAAAAGGATATTCATAAGTCAAAGAGGCTAAATCTGTATGCATAGATGTATAGTGCTCTACAATATGCCTGAATCTGACAAATTTTCATAGAAGATTAACGATTTACTGAACAGTGTACAGGAGGCTCGGTAAATAAAGACCTGCGGTACTCACATCCCAGTAGAAACAATTGCGTTCCCAAAAACATTGCTATTTTCTAAAGCGTAGTGAATTGTGCGTCAACCTAGCGATTTGACGAGGCTTCCACTGTACTTCTGGCCGTGTCTGCTCTATAATAAATACTTGGCATAACGAAGGCGACGACTGAACCCTAAATAGTTGCGAATATATAAGCTAAGGTTGTCCATGAAATCTTTCTTTATTAGATCTATGGATTTTGGACGCGAATCATTTATTTCCAAACAAGCTTTCGCATAGTGTCCATGACCGTATGGAAACTACGTCTACACCCGTCCAAAACATATAAGCTATCTATATAAAAATACATATATATAGTGCTGTGGTAATCGGCGACCAAGCTTTCTAATTGCAGGGCGTCTTTCAGACAAGGCCTATAAGCTCTCAATGTATCGATATTCCAGGGCCTCGATGAAGTATATTGTGGCACATTCCAGCAATTGGCTGCGCTTTGCTCCATCCCTATCCCAGACACTGCCTAGTCATGAGGGGTGTCCATCATGACTCTATTTGTTTTGAGTTTTTCGTAGTGTTGTAGCACGTGCATTGCTTAACATTTTAGATACTGTCTATAGGTGCAACTGACTAACTGAATTTGATTAAAGCAATGTTTTTACGTGCTTGTTGTCTCAGTAATCTTTTCTTTTGTCTCCTATGGTTGCTGTAACTGCATGTGTTATGGACGTTAGTTGGTGGCTGTAACGCGCGTTGTCGAACCACTAAAACGCCGGGCACTCTACCAGCAATGTGTTCTTTGCAAGAGCCCTTCGGTACTCTTGCAATAGCGGGGGACATGCGTGGAGCCGGAGGTTCATTATTAGCCGCGGGCCCCTCTGGGGACACAGTTATCGCTAGTGTGTCGCCTTCATGTGTGGCTTTACTACGACCCGACTATTCACAACCAATACGCTCGTGGTTTAGCAAACCTTCAACTCCATTTACCACAACAGCTGTATGGGACTCTGTCAATAACAAGCTGGTTTCTGCTTCACAAACCAAGGTGAGAAATCACTGTGATAATACTCTGAATAGAATAGAAGGATATGGCAAAACTTTGAGTGCAGTATGGTACCCAGTCGATGTCATCAGGACACTCTTTGTGGCGCAATTTTGACGCAACGAGCTGGTTGGCGCCAAGTATTACTTTTGGCAAAGGTCTTTGTACCATTATCTATTTCATTATAGAATCAAATAGATATTCTTGAAATTATTTAAACATGTTTGGGAACGACATTTCTTTTTTTACTGATCACTACATCTGAAGCACTTTTCTCTTCTGAAAAGCAGTAGAGTTTTAATTCTTAAATCTCCTGCAGCTCATTTTTATGTCCTCACCAATCCATCAACATCATTAAATACTGTTAATGGCCATCGCAAACGTCTAAACGATCACGGAAAAATTGCTTTCGTTATGTTACTGTCAATAATATTTTTTAATATAAAGTCTTAAAACTTTGAGTTCCTGCTGATGCAAAAAGTTATACTGATAAAACAATTATGTGTCTGCTTATCTAATTTTTAATGAAATTCACAGGTTCTCGCCTGGACAAATTCGGAGAAAGCAGTTCCAACGGTAGTTGCTGACTGCCAAAGCGACGTTCTGTGCTTCGTGCCATATAGCGCTGGTGTAGCAGTCATATGCAAGAACGGTCTGACATTTCAGTTACAATATGAGCGACCAAACTGGGAGGTCCAGATGTCTCCCGCTGTCAGGGGAACATTTTCTTGGGCTGCCATACTCGAGCTTAACGGAAAAACAGTCGTACTTCTCGTAGCGGAGGATGGGAAGAGTGTGGCTCGTTTTCCTTTAGGCGATCCCAACTCGAAAGCTACAATTAAACTTCCGGCAAAGTTTACCATTACAGCTTGTTGTACCCACAACAACACTCTCTTCGTAGGCAATAGTCAAGGAAAGGTCCTGCTACTAGATGAGGAATTGCTGATTCCGTCGAAAATTGATCTCAAGCTGGAAGAACCAGACCATTTGACAGCGTTAATCAGCTGTGATAGAGATATCTTAGTGGCTAGCCAAACTCAGGTATCCCTGTGGGACATCCAGTTTGGCTTGATGAAAGCCAGCATTAGAATAGCATTCTCACCATGGGTGAACAAGTGTTTGTTTTACAATGGCAATAAAGCTTTACTTGTTCACACATCCCTGATGGTTCTTCCGATGAAAATACAAAAGTGGTCCTTAGCTGCGCTGACTGGATCTAAAAAACGAAAGTCAGAGAAGAAAGCAACGGGTTGCGCAGAACTTTGTAATAGTTTTGTAAGCCAAGTCGATAACTGGTCACCTACGGACATGCAGAGGTATCTCCAACAAGTTGACGATCACTCAGAAGTGCTGATTGTTAAGTGCTGGAAACGGATTTTGAACGTGGACCCGAACCATCAGGCTATCGTTAACAAACTCCTCATAACGCGGCACGAGTGCCACAAGCTGACGGCAGTACTGCATGAGTCTCTCTCGATGGAAGAAGTTCAGCGATCCATCGATTTATTGGCCAGTTGTATGGCGCAGGTTACGCTAGTTCAACTTGGCGGTGGCGTTCTCGAGGCGTTAATGGACTGGGCCTGTCATCTTGTAGACGCGCATAGAAATGCGTTGAAAGTTAGCCTTCGATCCGAAAATGAGTCGATAAACGGGTGCCTCCTCAAACTGGAAAAGAGCTTACGCCGCATTGAAGGCCTCAGTCAGGATCTAGTAGATAGCCAGTATAATCTTAAAGTGGCATTAGATAAAATAGATCGAATCGCAGTTCCAAGAGAAAAACTGTACTGGGTGGAACCGTGGCCATTTTTGAATAATAAATCTAGCTAGAAATAGGTTTCTTATAAAAGATGTCAATTGTGTATTGTGTTCATTATTAGTTATCGGCTGACGTCCGCTTTGCAACTTGGACATACTGTAGCCGTATTAATTTATATGATAATCTGTTGTTATAATAGCTTAGGCATACATAGCTGTAATGAATGATAGCCGAAATTAAAAGCTTGATCCAAAGATCAGATATCGCTTATTACATTTTTCCAAATGTAGAAGAGACAAATTCAAGCATTCAGTTACAGTGGGCAGCCAAAAATTCACGATCTAGAGTTTGTGAAGACTGAATAAGAAGGTGAAAAAATTAGAGTGAAGTACACTTTATAATTAAAAAAACCTTATACGTATGCACCTGACCAGTGTATAGATATAACTGATCACAGGTTTACCGTTATTTCCTGTGGTTAAAGCGCACGCTGTCAATAATTTATTTCAGCATTACCTTGAGGGTGCATCGGTATATAGAAGTAGCCTTGCGACAAGAAAAACTGTAATTGTACCTACCCTAACTAACTTCGTCGATGCTTTTAGATCGTTATAATTGGTATGTTTATTTCTTTATACGAAATGCTCTATAAACCAGATAATTAAATGCGCAGCAAAAAATGTCTCCGTGGTACCTCAGTGGTACTCGGATAAAAAGGGATACCTATCAACTGGTTATATATATGGGTTGATATTTTTCTGGAGCAATATTTTTGCAATGCCCGCAGCATGATATGGACCAATTTTGAGTTGAAAGCAGGCTGTCAGAAATTGGTATCTGAGGATTCCAAAAACACAAACCATTGGGTTTCTGAAAAATTTCTCAAAGCTAACTAAATAGCTGCTTATATTCTATAATCCAAATCAATAATAATGAGTATGTGTGCTTAAACAATTTTGAAGACAAGTCGCGATTTTCTCATTTTCTTTGTTTAGACTACACTTTAGAAAAAATGCTGTGCTAAAAGCGACAGACTTGAAAACACTCGAATTAATGCAAAAACATATATCACCTTTCTTACAGACCCCAACGCAACGAAACAAACATGGGCTGGTAGCTCTTCTCGATACTGACTGTATTGTAATTAAAAGCATTCTAGAAAAGAAAACTACAATTTTTTGAGCTTCCAGATGTAGCATTTGTGAGTGGGTGTGATTTTAAATGCTTCTACAAATACGTCCACGGGGTTCAATCACCGTCAAATATAATTATTTGGATAGGTTGATGATGCATTACAAAAACACGAATAGCGCTTTACTGCTCTATTCTAAGCTGTACACTGGTTAATATTTGTTTGTTCTGAGGCGTATGCGTCTCTACTAGTTTCCTAAAACGCTGTGCCTACATGTATACGTACTTAATAAAAGTACGTATACATGTACGCACAGGGTTTCGATACTCAAATTTCAATCATAAATATAGAATATATCTAGGCGTGCTGTAGTATAAATTGTGAGTTATCATCTACAGAATTTCCTCATGTATTATATGCTTATTGCATCTTAAGTAGGAAATAGTATGCTTTTATTTGAAGCTAGGTACATGGCGTATATTTCTAGGCTGATAATATTCAAGATACAATATCTTTTATGAAAGAAATTTTCAATTTACGGCGACCATATCAATTATTTTTAGTAGCATCTGCAGCCAGAACTATTAATCCAGTCCGATGCGTATTTATGTGTAACTATTCATGGGAGTTCGGGGGAAGACGAACTCATGGAACAGCCGCATGAAGTAAGCACTTTTCTGACATACATCTACTTCATCAAGTGGCTTAGGAATGGACCAGAAAGAATTGGTTGAACAAGATACTTCGACCTAGTCATTCACAGCAACTTCGATGAGGTGTGCTAGCGTTTTGCCAAATATGTTCTGCATCGGCACCGAACTACTTGCTCCTGCAGTTTACTTCAAGTTCATTTAAACAGCTTTACAGAGGTCGGCAACGCTGTTTCGAGGTCGAGAAGGTCATGTTAACTATTGAAATAAAATACTTAGCTGCGTAACTTTCCAACTATCTTTGATAGTCGTAAATGCACACATTCATAATCACTTCGGAAATCCCACAACAGTAACGTGTAAACTTCTACGATCATACAGACTGACCGAGCTGAAAACTGTGTTAAAAACGAACACAACAGATACCAACAAAAACTTAGCCTAGGTAACTTGAATAAATATGGTACACTATAACCTGATAGTCCTAAAACATGATTACAGTTCACTTGACCTGGACAGAATGAGACTCGAAAGTTTATTTCCACACAGCAAAACATGTTTATTTCCGTGTTTTTCTATCGAAATATTTGTGCAACGCATATATATATATATGTATATATATATATATATATATAGATGCAATCTTTTGTTTGCCGTATGTATTTGCAGTTTAGGCACTTTGGGTTGTCACCCAGGTGTGTTAGTTTTATCCGCACGTTTATATTTTCTGTACAGTGTTAACGGTCTGCCCCATTCAGTGATACCGAAGTACTGTTCGATTGTCATGTTACAATCATTCTGTATAAATTCGTCAATTCGTTGAACAACATCGTTATTCCAGCTGAGTTTGCCAATATCCTGAAACATAACTTTTTTTAGGCGACGCATCCGTCGAGAGGCGTTTCTGTAGCATTTCCACGTTTGGGGCTCGACAAGAAGAAAGTCACACCGGGACGAGATGTACTGGAGAAATTGCCGCAGTCCATCGTCTCCATGGTTAAGGTGAATCCACATTGTGACAGCGAAGCAAAGCCCGAGATCGAAGCGCCCATCGGAAGTAAAGCATTCGACGTAAGATTTACGTTCGTTTTCACGCATTACATCGACCGTTTCAAACTTTACCTCGCCATAATCGCATCGAGCTGTAAGTGACTTTGCTGTTTGAATAAGCACAGGGTCGATATCTATACCGAGTGTTCGCAATGGAAGTTTAAGTCGCCGTAGCTGAGTATGCAGTTCGACCGTAAGGTCGCCGGAATTACAGCCGAAATCGATCGTTGATACGATCCGCCGGTCCGCCAACGGTAGTAACCAGTCAGTTCCGAGGACACTTAAGCGTTTTGAAGGGGGATTGAACTTGTAATAGTTGTGAAAGTTCCCAAACCGTGAAGCGCCTGAATTTTATGATAAGACGAATGAAAACGAGAAGAAACAAGAGAACGAAGTCAGCTCACAGAAGTACATGTTTTCCCAATGAAAAGTATGTCACATATAGTCTTTACAGCAATATATTTAATGAAAGTAAAACATATGGAAGAACTTAGGTTAGTATCGGTGTCCAGTAATATAGTTGGCAGCCGGATGACTCGATGTTGGGAACCAAAAATCATTGACATTTCAGGCGTAAGGTTTTAGTGAATAAAATTATTAACTAGGTTGGATTTGAAATGACGTTATCTTTATTACAGTTATGCACATTTTAAAGATAGCCGTTGTATTTGGTTGTTGTTAAACGAAGTTTATACTTTAAAGTCAGAATTCCAGATCAAATTTAGTAGTTAACATGGAACTTAGTCGAGCCAATAGTGTTCTGCCAATTACTTTATCTCTTTCATTTGTATTTTTATTTCAATAACACCTTAGTTGTTAGTATTGAATATCTATTCAAATCATTTAGTGTACCATCAGAAACTGAAACAATGCCATGACACATGATATTTCTCAAGTAAATTTTCTTTCTATTATAACTTGGTTGTAATTAAAATAAACAGCATAAATTGCGCATCATACAGAGTGCACTGTTGCACCGAAGCAAGTGCAACACTCAATGCTGATGCACATAACAGACCTGCTCCATGCGAAATATGTTCGATACTTTCGGAGTCACTTATATCATCGACGTGACACGCTTCTCTAATCCTCATGGCACTGGAACTTTTAAAATTGCGAAAGGCTTTTCGTCTCATAATGCAGTATAAGTGAAATTACACATAGCAAAAGGCCTAAATAGACTTTTATTCTATTTTCTCTTGTCAATTCTTCTAAATTCCTTTAATTTCGAATTGAACAACAACACTGGAACCATTATGCCAGCTGGCGGAAACTTCAGTCCAGTCGATTTGGTGGCTTATGCTAGAACGGTACTCATGCTAATAAGTGTGTAGACCTGTATGAGGTGAACGTCGCAACAAATCACAAGATCGTTAAGACGCTAGTATTCCACGCATGGCACCAGCAGGGTGTAAAGTTTAGTAAATGAGAATACTTGGATACAAAACGAGCCTAAAGGGCATAATGCGTTAGGCTTTAATTTTTATAATAATAATAAAAGCATTTAGCGCATTACACTTTGAAAGTTTCAGTAGACAACTTACATGCTAATTAAACGAACCATAACTAGATATAAATTAAATCTAAACTGATACTCGAGTAAATTTTATATTCTAAATCAATAAAGTCTGTATGCATATCTTTGTCGACAGTATTGAAACGTAGATTACCTTGATTTGATTAAAAAACCTTATGTTTAGGTCACATGTTTGAGAAAATTCATTTTTCGGTTTATTGTACACGTTAGCTGATAACTGTGCTGGGTTGGACGCATTCGTTCAATGTTGAGAACCAGAGTATTACTGAAATACATGTTTAGAAACTACGAATTAGAAAAAATGGCGTACGCAGATTGATAACAGCCACAAACGTAATAATAAATAATAAAGCATGAATTTATATTAAATGTCTCATGGATATTGTCATGGTTATCAGCTCAAAAACCGCATAGGGCGAGCAGGCGAATAGCTGTCTGCTGTCTAGGACCTCTATGCCGTCCTCGTGATGGTGCGATACTCACATGTTTTCCTAATAGGTAAAATAAAATAAAATAGTTAAGGACTTCCTTCAAGACTTGGGAATTGCGTGTAAGCAAACTTATGGTTAAAGCAGTGCCTGATTTTAGAGTCAAAACATTTTTAGGGCCATGAGGCTGAGAGAAAGTGAATGTGGCGCGGTTGGCATTCCTGGGGTGTCGCCTGCTCGAATATGTGACTCTAAAAAAGATCTAGTCCCTGGCCATAAAAGGCATTTCAACGCTCAAAATCGCTTCGACCAAAGCAGAATTTTTCCAGTCAATTCGCAATAAACGAACATGAAGCTCACTTGGTTACATATATATATTGACTGTTGAAGAGCCTCCATTTCACATTTGTAAAAGAAGCAGGATACATGGAAATTATTACAATAAAAAGCAGACTCAACTATCCAACACATTTGTAACAGGGATAAATTGACGCTATTTCTGTATTTTATGTATAAACTGACGCCATTTCATAATACTGCAATGACTACGGTGCTCATTGAAATGGCTTTATCGAGTAATATCATAATGACGAGGGAAGTTTCATGCCATAAGTGTTTAAATTTAGTGCCTTTATGTTTATACAATCGCGAATTACATCCACTGCACACGTCATTGGTAAAAATTTAGCTTGAGAGGAGTTATCGGTTTAGCTGTCCCGACGTTCATAATCAATGTGAACTTCGGCGTTATCGTGTGAATCGGCGTTAGTGCGGGTTTAGTACTGTTTGAATTATTGCAAATGGATTTTGTGATTCCATACTTCTCGCGTATTGAGGATAGAATGATTATGTTGATTGATAGCGAATGCTTGTCTCCATGATGGCGTTTTTCGTTTTTTAGTATTGTTTGATGACCCCGTTCCGGTCATCGGTGGTCAGAACCATAACTAGATAGTTATTTCAGAAGACTTATAATGGCACGAAGTAATCAAACTAGATGATCAGCACGAATTGTTTTACTGGTATCCCGCACTGTTCACCATTACTAGTTTCTGCCAAGTTTCATGGACTTGACACGTGAGTCTTTGAAAAACAAACGTCGGGCTGATGGCGATGTTAGTCCTAAATGTAGAAGCCGAAAATCTTGTGAAATTGATAGTCGTTGGGTTCCTGTTTTTCATTTTTTATTTCATTTTGTTCGAACCTAAGGAGATTGCGTTCGTATCCAGCAAAATGCATAGAGTAGGAAGTGGATATAGACTTCGGAGTGACAGTCTCATCAACTATGGAAATTGCAGTGTGAGGTTATATCGTTCACACCGTAGGCGCCGATTTAAAAAATGCATGTCTTGGCGCACTTGCAGATAGTAACGCAACCTCTTACATTTTGTTGAAACAAGGGACTACGCATTTTAATACTACATATGACACGTTTGACGACAAATTCTCTCCAGAAAGGGAGAGTTTTACGTAGGAGAAATTTATGACTGTGCTTTTTCCGCGGATCTGTTTGCATCAAAGTTGGCAGGAACGAAAACACTTTATTAGAGAAATACAAAGACATACGTCTACAAGAGGTCCAATAAAGAAGGTCAATTGGAAAATATAATTAAAGACACATTACTATAATATCATGCCTCATAGCATGTCTTCCACCGTTAAATCCGCTCCTTATCGCCATCATTTGCATATCCCCTTCTACTTTAATATACGTAAAATAAAGACTCTAGTTGTCTGTATATATGTATATGCTACGAACAACAAAGCTATTACAGACAAACTGCGATTTATTCGGCCTTACGCTGTATACCGTTCTGATCGATCGGCTGCCGGCCGCGAGGTATGACAACCCAATAGCTCTGTGAGGTAACTTAGCTCACTATAGTAAATGGCCCATGGTAACGCAGCTAAAACTTGCCAGAGGGTCCCGGCGTTTCCTTTTAGATCTCTACTAGCATCCTTGTGTCGTTCTCAAATTTTCGCGGGGTAGACTTCTTCCCGAATTGCGCTTTAATATACTGTCGTCGATTCCAGAGTTCTTGATATTTGCTCCAGAACAGTTTCATAGCATCCCCACTGCCGAAGGGTTCTGCGACCTATACGGCCCGGTAGCGAAAGCGAAATTCGAACTGATGCATCTTAACCAAGCTATAACTTGTAGGTCTATTTAGGGACTATCTTTGTAATTAGAGTAATCGTTGAAATCATACACTTGACTAGCCCGGTGCATCGTAAATGTCCGGCAGCTTTCTTAATGTGCAATTCACCTGAAGTTGTCTGCGACCGGTTGCGATATAAGGCATGCTGCGCACGACGGCGCGAAAGCTTCCAAAGAAGCACTTCCGCAATTTCCAGCACTCGGATCACGGTGCTGGACGTCAGCTTGCACAAACTTGCACAGCTTACACGCTTGAACAAAACGAGTTCAGTAATCAACCAATACAGGGACTTGAAAAGCATTACCGCTTGGGACTTTCGAGAATGTTTCAGAGACGACATTAGGTGAAACGCGTTGCGCCCTCCTGGATCTCAAGTACGCCGCTGACAGACTTCACATCAATCCAGCCCCTTTCGTACCTGCGTCGCAAGCCTAGTCTTACAGATGCCGACATACCCTGCCGAATGATATAGTATGGTAATTTCTTTCTCGTGGGACGATGGAACGCGGAGCACTATTCCCTTCTGATTGTCCCGGTAGATTTGACCATCCTTAAGCATATACGCTGGGACGCAAGCTTTTGTCTCTAATTTGGCGATTACAACAACCGAGGGTTTTTCCTCTGCACCTTCTGAGCCTTGTCTACCTTAAAAGCGCTACTATGTACCAGTGGTAGGGCCAAACGTGAAGCAACAAAGTGTCCCTATGTCGCTAACGGAACCCTTTGGGTAAACGTCTTCTAAGTGATTGGAAACCAGCGCCTTGACTGCGGGCAAAGTTAAGGCGCTGGGTTCCAATTCAAGTACGTTAGTGCTGTCAGTAACGACTTTGAAGGGTCCCCCCCTACGAGTATGGTTGGAATTTTTCAAGGATACGCGTTACCGCCAAGCACACGGCTTCAGATAAATGGCACTCAGTTTCGACATCAATCAAATGGTGGTCCGCTTGCGTCCCACTTCTACCTACGCCAGCACAGTCCGTAACCCGTTCTCGCTGGCATTTCTTTGTTACTTCGTCGTCAGATCCTGTTAAAAGTGGCACAGGACAGGCTCTCATGAACCTTTAGATCGCAACAGCCTACAGGCAGACCAGCAATCCCCCATAAGTCGACGTTTATAGGAGGTTAAGCCTATAAAACTCTCACCTCCTTAACCATGGGCAACGCACTTAGACCTTCTAAGTATTCAGAGAAATTTCGGCAGTTATGATCTTGTGGTCTAGGTACACCAACTTCTGGGTTGCAAAAGTGCATTTCTTTGCTCTCAAACGCAGGCCAGCCTTTGGAACAACGCGGGTGCATTGAAGCGACCCAAAGGCAGACTTGTAGAGCCCCGCTGTCGTACAAGATACCATTTTCCCAATGTCGTCTGCGTTCATGCTGATCCGCCAATATCTACTAATTAGATCCAGGGCGCTAAAGTAACAGGAATTAGCGAAAATCGATCGATGAGGGCATCGGTAGCGTTTTTGATACAGGGTAATGGCTACACTTCTAGATCCATAGTAGAACTCAGTTTGTAATTTACGCAAAAACCTATTTCTTTCATCAGTGGAGAGGACCACGGGTTGAACGAGGGCTCAGTAGTGCCATTATGCGGCATAGCTTAAACCTCATTCTCTGTAGCCTGCCTCATCAAGGGTACAACCCACCGCAGCTAATAGTGGATTAAAACTGAATAGCCGTTGGGATCGTACTCTGAACGAAGTCGACATGGATAGTTTGTTTGGCCACTCGGACAGATTTTGGCTACTTGGATATTGGCTTATAAAAAGTTTCATGCGGCGGCTGCCTTGCTTTGCTATCAACCCTCCACTTCGTCTGAAGACCGGCCGTCATCAAAATTGTTTTTAGGCGCGCTATATTTACCCAGGGTGATCCGATCTTTTACCCTAATTAGATGATCTTCTAAGTTCGTGAGCAGCATCTGAGACTAGACTTGTGTTTTTGTGTTCATATCGTTGTACGGGTGCGTGTACACACCGTTTAAGGAACAGTTTAGGGCCCAATGGCGCACAGTGCGCAGCCAAGGGTGTCATCAAACGGCCCCTCAGAAAACCCGGTTAAAAAGGGCTTTCATCTTCCTTGATAAACTACAACTTTTTCATCAAAAACGGCTTGCGCAGGGACATATTCTTCGCAAGTTTATCGACCGTGAACAGTAGGCGGCCTGCCGAGGCACTCTCAGCTGTTTTCTTTTTGTATGCGAACAGGCCCTTGAAACCACCTTTTTTAAATTTATCATTAACATCTTGCCCCATCTAAGAGTGTAACCAGGATGAGTCGCGCTGAATTTATCAGGAGTTTCTCTAACAGGTGTATGAAACCGCATGACAATCATATAAGCAGCTATAAATCTTATTACCGATTCTTTATTTCCCCTAGTTCCTTATTGGCCTAGTTATTATTGTATGGCAGTCATATCTTTATTTACACTGTAGGTAGCGTGACAGCACGCTTGTTGGCTATAATTACCATAACAATGCACTTAAAGGTATGCGTATTATCCACTCAGACCATGTTGCCATTTGTTGCATATAATATTTCGTATCAAACTTGAGAGTTGGCAGTCTGAGCCTATCCGTCGCGTATTTCGGCGGGAGACTTGAGTGGGCCGAGTTATGCTGTGGGCTTCTTTTGAACGATTCCGTAGTAACACCTCACGATTCAGATTGAAAGTGGTACAATGCACATAGACTGCTAGCTGAAAGTCAACCGCGTTTCAAAAAAAAACCCTGCTGCTACAGGATTTTGCAATCTCCGGTCTATTCAAAATAAATGACTTGGCGCGGCTAGCGTTTGACAAATGAGGGTCGAAAACATACCTGCACAGAGATACAATGCATTTTCTATTAGTTAGCAGTTACAGTAAATAGTTCTAATCTAGAGTATATAAAGTAGACAAAAAACAACGGTTGTAAATTTTTTCCATTGCTATTTTTATCGCTGCGCTGTTAGAAAGTGTAAAGTTTTGCCTGCGAAGCTTTCAGAACCAATCTAAATGATAAATATTGCTTTTAAATATATGCTATAGTGGTGGTGTATAGGTTTTCAATTAATTTATACGCATGCCACACGGCAATCAACTAAACGCTGGCCAGTGGTTAACTTAAGCAGTTGCTTAAAACAAAAATGCATAGCCGCTATGGAAAGAATGATAATTTGTTACAAAGTCGTGTTACAATAAGCGGATGCTCAGAGAACATTAAACATTACGACGATGACTTTCTACTAAACAAAGTGCGCCATCTGCAAAAAGTTAAATTAGCTTGCTTAATCACAGTGTTGCTGTTGAGGCCTCGGACTATATTGTTTAGCTAATTTACACAAGATGAAGGTAAATATTCGTATATATTGCATATGCTTAATGAATTGTCTACTGGAAGAAATATAATTATATTATGGTGGGCGTTATATAATTAGCGCTTGCCTATGTAACATAAGGCGACGAAGAGACAACCCCAGCCATCTCGTCTCTGCAAACCAGTCTTCGTTTCTTTTGGTCTTCGTTATTTCCCCCTGGAGCCAATGCTTTTAATCTTGGAGCTTGTCCTCCTCCGAACTGAGAACAGCTAAGTTTCTAGTAGAAACGATACTTTAGACACACTACAATTTACTCACGCTATGTATATTCCATCTGTGAACGAAATCCTGAGCAAAAATGCCCTGTTAAAATGGGAGATCTTGTGTGGACATGTCGCCCTAAGCGAAGGGAGCACCGTAATGAATACTATCTACTATTATGCTTTTTACTTGGGGAACAATGCTGCCTGTTAGTTGGCTAAGTCAATAATTTTTAGGTTAGCAGTGCTATTGTCTTTACGTAGAATTATATATAGTTGTAGATGGTTTTTACTCCCATTATTATGTCCCACCCTAGCTGGCCTCTATCTTCCCAAGGCATCCGAAAAGTCGTTTGAAAACGTGTTTATGCTTAATAGTGACAGTATCGTGGAACTGGCCAGATGCAAAGCAACGTATTGCGAACTAAACATTCTTAGAGGTATTAAACGGTGTCTACAGCGGAAAAAAGACTGAGTATCTAATATGTTTTGCTTAGAAATAACTAATGAGTCTAAGACGACTCTACATGTGTATTGCTTAGGTACTGAAATAATCGGAAAGCTTGAACCAGAAAGTTGTCTGTTTTTAAACCTTATACAAAAAGTGCATCACTTTGAGGAAGATCCTTAATTTTTTACATTTTTTTTTTATGATTTGGACCCGTGATCCGGGTCAGTAGTTGAGAGTTTCTTAAAGGTTCATGTGTAATTTTTTTGCTGTTAAATCCTCAAAAAATAACCATGAAACAAAACTGCAGGAGAAATTTTCACAGTTTAACGCTAAATAGTAATCTTTCCCGAAATGGTGCCGAGTAGATGAAATACAAATCATATTCTTCAAAGGGATAAGTATTTCTTTTTAAGGCAACCACAATCGGCGCTGGCTTCGAATCGAGCAATACTTTACGTGAAGTTGAGTGTGACATGAATATTCAAATACTGAAACAGGCTGAGAAGATGATTGAGGGTATTTGAAAAACTATTAAAACATTCCAATTGGAAAATAGTATATTTGGCGCAGGGCAATGGCAATGGAATAAACGTCGACAATAACGATAAAAAGTGACTGAGTTAGCCGAGTAGAATTATCGTAACGGAGTCGCTGCAACATGATAACAAAATTGATGTTTCGTGTTCCGAGGTGAAGTGTAGCATGACAACTGTAAACATACAAATTCACAATGCAACTATAGTTCAGATTGAGTTCGGTATAATTCGAATCAACTTACTCGAGTGGTTCGAAAGAGTTTTGTAAATGTTCGTATCGACAAATTAGAAAATAATAACAAATTAGGAGAAACAACAGAATAGCTGTTGGGGTATACTATGATTCGCGTTAGGCTAGGTATGGTATTTGCAAACCAAATTAGTTAAGTCAACGGTGAAAGCAGGCGCAGTGAAGTTTGCGAATTCGTCTCATATCACGTCAGGCGTCGCGGTTTCTTTTCTGGCTTTCAAAAATACAGATCTAAACATTCATGTTCCGACTAAGCTGCAAAGCAACTTCTCATTCTAGGGGGCAGTCGTGGATTTCGAACCCACGTAGGCCTTCTCGGTCAATTTGAAGTGAAAATACGTTTTATTGATTGCGGATAACCACAACTGGTAGTGCTTGCCCATCTTCTATTTCGTGACACACTTTTCAATGGTTCTACGGCCCTGTTGTCGGTATATGCTGTACAACATATGCGATCAAATAAAGAAAGGTATAATGAAAGTTGCCGGAAGGGCAACTCTGGATAGGTTTGGCACTACTGAAACGCACACTTTAGTGGATAGTTAGTAAAATAGAATCACTCAACTTACATGCTCCTCTGGGGAGTGATATTTTCGAGGCAACTTAACCTAAAGTAGCAGAATATGTCCCACTTAGGTCTAGTACAGAATAATGGAAACATGAAAGTCCGACAAAGATATAGAACGTTCAATATTAAAATTTACGCCTCGGGCCTAAACAACAGCAAAAATTCGCTGGGTAAACACCCAGTTGAAGTTTGCCTTCTACTCGGTTTTCAAAAAATATTGACTGTTTCTAAGTGAAAATTAGAACAAATACTTTGTAATCATAAAATAATACTGATAAACTAACTTTCGTCATTTTTTATCGACGGCCTCTGCCATTTTTTCCATGATAACATGATCTCATCACTGTAGAACCTCCGTGATTTCCGAGCGCAAAATTGTGATAAATGATTGATGCATTCCTTCATTGAAAGTTTTTTTTGTAGCAAGTCTACATTCCTTGGTAATATCATGGCTACTCACGCGTTCATCTTGCCCAACTTTCGCAATGATTCGATGAGCTTCTTCTGTACTTAGTCGACTATTACCTGAACGAAGCCAACATAATAACTTTGAGCCTTTTGTAAAAATACCAAAACTTTATTTATAAACTTAAGCAGAATTCATGTCTATATCGTAATAAAGTTGAAAAATATAGCGAATCTTTACAGATGCTCCATATTTAGCCAGGATAAAAGAGTTCCAAGAGTTTCATCACTTTATTACTGCCAATCTACAGCCAATTTCAGACGACATTAATGCTGACTTAACGCGGCTCATACCACCTATGATATGTGAGTTGTGTGATGATAAAGTTATCTTAGTAGAATAATAGCCAGTCATTTTTGCTCAATCTAATATTAGAAGGTCAATTTTCTCAGGAAATATGTTCCGCTGTAAAATTTGTAATTTTAGTGTACTCTTCGATGTTAATGTTCGCTCTTTAGTATATAACCGCTTTAACAGCACTATACCTTACAGTAAGAGATTTCGGTGAGTATTTTTTGTTTAGCTTGATCTATTAAGCTGGACAAATTTTGGCCATATAAAACTTTGATATCTGTGGAACTCATTTCAAACAATCTCATAAAATTTATATGCTTTGAATCCTACGCCTGGATTCATCGTGTAACGTGACAGTCGAGTCTGTTGAATTAAGTTAGCTATTATGTAAATACTAGCAACACTTCTTGTTTCTAATTTACGGTAATTCGACGGTAGATGATTTTAAGAAGCATGAGCTTGTAAAATGGACAAATAAGAGAAGGTCGAATTCGTTTGCTATGCAGTCATTGCTAGTCGTTAAACTAGAAAACCAGGCAACGTCTGGACGCGTTTATTCCTTAACTTTTTTTTTAGCTCGTTTATTCCTTCTAATACAGAGTGGGGCATTCAAATGTGAACAAAGTTCGGCGAGTTGTTTGTCGTAACAGGCGCGGAATATAGTGCATCGTTTTATAAACCTGGGCAAAGGTATGTCATACTCCAACCTCTCAGCGCTAGACGAATTCCCAAGGGGTTGAAAACGCCTTTTTTGCCCGAAATCGATGGTGTACGTTACTGCCAGTCCTCATAAGGTCCTTGAAAAATTCTAAAAAAAATTATATGAAAATACTTCTAGCGAATGCAGAAATTTCGTTAATATTTTAACAAGAAATTCAGATTGAGATGGCTGACCGTCGATTTTGCGATCTATTCGTTTTATACTATCTATTGGTTTTGTAGTCTAGGGAAATACGCCTACAATGTGATCGCTGTGATATAATTGACCAAGCTTGTTAGGGGACATATGCTTAGCCTTTTTATCAAATCGATAAATGATTTCTGTGGTTACCAGAAAGTTTTTTACCATACGAAATTTTCAACCAACCGCTAAGTTGAAAATGTTGATGTTCAACTTCGCGTCCGGCGTGTAGCTTTTAGGCATTGTTTCAGACGCCAGACTGCTAGGACGGAACGAAATATGTCTTTGTCTGGTCTCGAACCCAGATGACCTCATGCATCCCATTCGTTTGCTTACTACACTCAAAGTAAAAAATTGTTTCAGCGAAAACCTGCCACAATATCAATCTCAGCAGGGTTCTATTTATCGACTGTTAGATAAATGTTTCTATGTGTCATCCTTCTTCGAGTGTGTATCAGTCTCCGTGATTGGGACAAAGGTTTTTGAATTGAAAGGACGATATCAAAATCAGATAGCAGTTAAAAGCTCAACAAAGCAATTTCATTTTTAACAGAATTTAGCAAAGACTTTTAGCGATGACATTTCATGTGTTGATTCCAATGATTGGGTCTGATATTACATATCGACCCTGCTGCATACTGTTCACTACTCAGCTTATCTTTCGTGTGCAGCATGCAAAACTTCTATCTTTGTTACACCAGCCTTCGGTAAATCACCAATAATCGGGCGATTCAGTATCACTTTCCACTGTCTTGAAGCAGAGCGCCCGCGACATCATCAGCGGCAGCGGCACATAGTATCAGAACCCGCCGTAACCAACAACAACTTGATACGGTCTTCGTTTTCGTTGCGTACGCTTGACTTTGGGACAGCAGTAATACCAGCCATGTTGGCAATGCTCATGATGCAGCTTTCAGCATGATCGTGTTTCCCTCACCGCGATGTTCCTGGCTCAGTGGCCTCCTCGCGGCGGCTGCTGCCTCTGGCTGGAGCTGTATGCCTGGTTGGCTGGCTCCGTTACCTTCTAGCTGGTTGCGTTTCCGTTCGGTGCGTACGAATCGTGGCCCCGTGGGCTGGCAACAACTGGTGGACAGCCAAGCGTTTTGCTGTGCGCTTCGGTGGGGCCCTTGCCCCCTGCATTATTACTTTTATTGTTGGCTCAACTTGCTTCCTTGAACTCACTGCGTTCGCGATGCGACTCCCGGGCCGCGACACCGAACTGACTTTCCGCTGGTTGTCACTGAGCGAAAACAACCGCCATTTGCGCAGTCGGACTGACGCGGTTGCTTCGCCACCGACGAAGACACTGCGGTGCTTCCTGGTGTTCGCTACCGCTGCTGTTGTTCTCGGAATCCAACTCGGTAAGCTTACCAAAACCCCCTAGGTAAATTAAAAGAAAGACCAACAAAGTTGGTTGCACCGTTGTGTTTTGTGGAAGAGTTCCGGAACATACGGGAGGATAACGAAGTGTTTTGAGTTGTATATCAGTTATCTTGAATTACTCAAGCACATGCAAACATGTGCTTAGAGTTTTTGTTGAACGTGTTTCGATTGGGCCTATGGACGAGTGTATTAATGCGCTGAAGGATAATCGCTAATTGGCGACAAATGATTGGTTATTTTTATATTCATCTCGTGCCAAGTGGTACGGAATAGCGAATCATCCTGTCACTGTTGCAAATGAAAATAGCGCAATGATAGTGCTACGGTCGAAAATAAATGGTCACGAAATTATTGGATTTATGGCACAATCCATAAACGGCACAGCAGGGAACAATAGCGGGCTTAATAAAAATACATTATTAGTATCCATAAGTACTGTTACAAAGTAAAATTGATTTTTTTGAGGTAATTTTCCGCCTATATAATATAATAGAACGTACATTTAAAAGGTTCCTGTGTAACAGAGCCTAAGTTTATTGTTTGTATATACATACATTGACAGTATTTCTCGGGAAATCAGCAATCTGAGTGCTTCCAAAGTTGATTAAAAAGCCAGTAAATAAATAAACTCAAAACTTTCAGCATAAAAAAACTTAAATCCATTTTAATGGATGCCATTTTAATAGGAGCGATATTTGAGTTTAGCCAAAATGCTGTTCACTCTGCTAGCAAATCCAAGACAAGGAAATCAGTCCAACTCTACTATTCATTTTTCGTGCAAGTCAATCTCATCTAGTAAACTTGAGTCCTTTTGCATAAAAACTGCATATACGTATACCAAATGTTACGTTTAATACATGTGTAAAGAAAGTACAATTATGTCATGTGAATGTATGAAGTTGATATTTAAAACGTATTTAATTAATGTGCCTAATCAGCGAAATTGTTCACTGAAGGTTCAATGCAGCGCATGGAGCCGTGTGGCCTCTGAGGCCTATTCCGTCTTATCTCGAACAGCGGCACGTAGCATCTTGTAAATAAAAACCCAGTATAGCACATTGGTAAACGCGTAACTATGTGTCGGTTAGTTCTATTCGCCAGGCTCCCTCGACTTTGTATTATAAAAATCGAGATCGATGTTCGGCATTTTTCTGTCTGATGTACTCATTAACTTTAAACAAAGAAGGGTTCTAAGAGATTTTAATCTGCGGCTCAGGTTCTTTATAAACGGCAGCATGTCGCCTAGAGGGTACGCGTATACGCGTTCAACGATGAGCCATGGAGTCTTATAGCGCTTTTTAATTCGGTTTAATTGGGTTGAGTTTTTTGCATCACGCCGATGATTGGTATTCCCACACTACCTGTATCCTGTAGAAAGCTAGAATTCTGAATAGAGCCAATGTCAACACGGGGGTTCGTTCACCTACACTCGCCGTCGTTACGTATTGTACTCTGTCCGTGACGTGCTCTGCGAAGTCTGCGAACGACTGTTCGCACCCAAAAACTTGAAGCACTTACTATCATGCTTTGCTTGTTAAAGTGGCCATTTTAAAGACGCGCTTTTTCCTCCTGACTAGAAATTTTCAACACTCTGCCATATAGTTTCTGATCCAAACATGGTGTGTGATAAAGTACTAGGAATATAAATGGTTCTCTCAAAGGCCGTCGACGGCTACTCCTTTGTTGTTAATAATTACTGAAAACAATCTCAGCGACTACGTGGCTATCGCAACCCCTCGACACAGTTGGAATTACTTACGCTTTTGGCAAGCATTAGGCGTCGGCTATTGCAACATCAGATGGTACCCGTAGAATATAATACGGTCTGTTAGAGCTTGTCTGAAACAATGCTCAACAGCAGTTCTAAACGTGAAGTTCCAAGAAACACTTAGCGTTTAGTTTTGTAGAACTCGAATGATTCTCTAAACACTCCTTACAACGCATTCAATTGTTCCGCAGCGTAATGCATTTACCACGCGAGTATTTCAGGATGCAACTGAGCTCGCCAAAGGAGCGAATAGATAGTCCGTGCCAATTTTCTCACCACCACTTCGAACGATGCTTGCCATACCATATGAAGATTTTGATTCGAGCACCTTTAGGTTTTTCCTGCATATTTTGGTCTTTGAATATTACGAGTTCCATATTCGACTTCGTTATATGTTTAAGCGACTCAATTTGGCCGTCGTAAACCTATCCTGGACATTGATAGCCACGCTTTGGCACCTGCTTATTATGCTTTTGGCAGTTTTACATTTCTGAAAAAGTCCGAATGCCTTTTTATTTGCTTGCCGTGTCGCTATTGTCGCTGCTGTCGTTGTTTCTGTTTTTGGCGAATACGTATAGGGGTATCCTTCCGGTAATGTTCAGATAATAGAGCCTTATCAAAAGTAGTCACCAGTTCATATGACTGCGAAGACATCTTAGGTAATATTCACAGTAAATTTTCCCTGAAACAGAATCCGACACACTCGCGAAGCATCAGTGATCTTATTTTCAACCTCCCATGAGTTTCTGTACTTCCTTATGTTTCGATTTATTAGTATCATGCCGACAGTGTCTTTTACTGTATCACAGCAGCGTAACTCGGCATGTCAACTTTTCGTCTTAAACTAGAATCGCTGGTTGGAAATAGTCCTAAGTTATTTATATTCAATGCAATTGTCATTATAATCAAACTGTCGCGCAAGTTAACGAGTCCTATGAGTAAACTCATATTTAACTGAAAGAAAAATATACTGGTAGCGTTTATAGATACCATTATTAAAGGACGATGATTTGCCGTGGTGAAGATCGCACGGCAGAGAGATTTATGTACATGGGTCTGTGGGTCACCGTGCTGTTGAGTCCGTATTCGGGGCCGTATCGTGGACGGATCAGCAAACGCATAGAACGTTCCATTACAAACCACAATAAAAGATCGAGGTAACAATGAAACAGTAGGTATTGATCCATGCGCGATGGTGTAGATTTTATTTATTATAGCTACAGGTAGCTAGCGGCGCGCTCGTCGCGAAGGTCGCATGGTCGCTTCGAAACGGCCAATCGTATGCTAAAGGAACTACGTCACAGATGACGACTGCAGAGACAAGTCAGACTAAGACATTACTGCCTACATAGACAGCAATTTTCGATAGCAGTGGCTATTACAACAACCGCGTCGAAGCGACGACAATTAAGTTCTCATGCACTTCGATGATCAAAAGCGTCATCAAGCCATCGATTAATCGATTAGGCTGGATGAGCTGAACTGCCCAGCTTAACTTACGCTCGAGTTATCCACGGGTGACGCTATTGATAAAAATGACGTGATGTCAGGATCGGGGGCAATTTGAAGCCAAGATAACACGAACGTCGAGCTTTTGTAAAAAGCTTGTAAAAAGAATTGTGGTCTTCTGGCTAGTATCTCATCGTAGTTTCGGCATCCACATCGTGCAAATCCGAATTTCGAGCTTAAAAGCTGTCAGATAACTACTACAAAGTTTGTAACTTTCTCTAACATTATATAGGCAGTGTAGTGGTCAAAAAGAAATATTCACAATCATTAAAACTTTAAAATCTGGACTCGTTTGCGCTGTGTTACATCCGAGCCGTACATTTTTTTTAAGAGAGTGTGAGTAACGCTGTCAATGTAATATCTTATTAATCAAAATAAAGATTTAATATTCATGAATAGGGTTTTGCAAAATGTATTTAAGAAAAAATTATCCTATATATTATGTGTATTTTAAATTCTTTACCCATAAAGGTGGTGGTCTTGGACGGTAAATAGAATCCGCAGCGATGATAGACAGAGAATAAGAACCACCGCTCTGAAAGTAAACCCAAATCACAACAATCATAACAATTATAATAATAGTAAAAGTGCTAGGCTTGGCTTTCCAGACATCGCCAAGGCCCAAAGCGGATCAGAACAGCACCAGGGTCTCTATATCGGGCGAATCAATACATATTCACATCAGGTCTCCGGCAGTGTATATGCTGTCGACGAGTACACGCTGTTGATACGAAACTTCTTCTACGATGGCCTTGGTCAGGATGCGTTTTTCTGGGCGGGATCTTCGATTCGCCCAAGTAACGTCGGGTTCATCGTTCCCGACGAAGAAGGAAAGTTAGTCAAATTTAATCAAATTCTATGTTACGACCAATAAAAATAACTTTATAATAATAATAATAATAATAATAATAATAATAATAATAATAGGAAAATGAAGGAGTTTTGAGTTTTTCGCGTTAATTTTCTTTTAAGTCAAAAGCTGAAATCGTTTATCATTATTATTATTATACGTAGGACAGACGAATGTACAATAACGAGAGTACTAGAAAATCTTCAAATCTTTCATTTAATCAATTCAATTTAATCAAAAAAAATCATTAATTTAATAATTAAAAAATCATTTAATAGATTTCTATGATGTTGATCTTGCACCTAATCGCTTCAGAACAAACGTCCTGGAACCATACACGGATAAAGATATCTACATTCGGTTGCCCGATAAGCGTAAGATAACGTCAATCAAATGGTTGGCCATTTGGAATCTACGGGATAACGAGAATTATGGAGATATCTTTCTGCCGGAAGGTTTCGAACCACCGGCTCCGCGCAAGTTGTCCGAATTGACCCGGCAAGGAGCTGGTGTACGTTCTAGTACCGTTATCGTAATGGATACGAAGACACTGTTTATACCACGCTTTCATTTCAACGGAGAGAATAATGGTACCTTTTTCTATTTACTATAACGGTATTTACAAAAAAAACAAAAATTGATGGTGTTTACAGCGATACGGTCCTATCACCGGTTTTGTTTTAATTTTTTCTTCTTTCGTATTCGTTGATCATTTACAGACACCTATTTTTGGGTAGGCCAGGGCGCTCAACCAAGCAGCGCAGGATTCAAAATACCTGATGAACAAGGATAGTGAGTAGATTCAGACAGCATTGAGTTGTGGGGTATTATAACACCGGTTTGCCCGGTAGGATGAGCAGAACACGTAGGCATATAATATCTTGGGAATCATTGTTGCTTTTCCATCGCAAAGTGTGTTTGCTTTCTACAAAATAATGGAGTACGCAATTTATTTGTCAACAGAATATTCTTTCCAGTTATCTTGAGAAGGGCGTAATAAATACATAAGTAGGTATAATGTTTTTGCCTAAGGTAATATACAAAAACAACACCCGTACTACATCTAGTCATAAGCTTACTAATCTGAGTTGGCCTGTACCAAACGAGGACGCCATTAGTAATATTAGCCTACACTAATACAATGGATACGCACTCAAATGGATAATTGATTTCAACAGTTAGTTAATTAAAATGATTATCTTTTATTAGTCTTAATCCGATCCGGGCATATCGTGGCGAGAGCGTAACGCTTGTTCTTCCTGGAAAAACAACCGTATTCGACATCGATTGGTTTTCAATCTGGAATGCAAATCTCTCCATTAATTATGGTTCTGTGCAGATCCCCCACGGAGATGACATACCCCCTAGCACACTTCAGACATACGTAAGCTATCTAACTGTTTAGTGAAACAAGTTTATTAACTGATCGAAATGCTTGCACATCTTGCAATTTTGTATGACAATTATTATTATTACTATTGTTCGGTTAATCAAAAAGCTAGTATTAGTAAAGTTACTATTTGTTTTTTAGTGGTGTGCAGTCACTGGATAAGAGCAGACTCAATTCTAAGATAATCTGAGGTTGAATTCTTAATTAGTATAGTATAATCAACAGCAAAAGTATTTCATGAAAAATACTTTTTAAATTAATTACGTATCTATATTTTTTTTTGGAAATTCAGCGATCGAAATCCGTACACAACCTGTACGCTGTACTGCTGATGCAGTGGATAGTCTTTAGTGTCCCCTAATTCTTTCCGATGAAATTTGTTGCGAAAATTTTTTCATCTGAATGTTTTGGTTTTACAGAAACACGAGTCTAGACTACAAAACTGTGAGCAGTTACACGCTAAGTTGCAGCTTCGGTGGGAAATACAGGGCAGTTCAATTACATTCGAGCTAACTGGACCCATTGGTGCGTTGAAGCTACGATTACTGGGTATTTCTTGCGATGCGAATACTATGCTAGACTCTTAGGTGTTTGTGTTATAATGAGTCGCGGTGATTGATATCTCATAGCTGCTGTCCTATTTCCGATGAAAATTAACCGAACAAGCCCTGTATTTTAGCTGACGATGATTATTTCGCTTTGGGTCCCTCCGGAGACGATAACTCAACACACACTCAAATGCTAAACGCGGATGTTGCAGTGGCTTTTGTAGATGGGCCTTATGGACAGGTTAGTTCAGACCTAGATGGTGGAAAAAGGACATATTTCTGTACACGTAGCATAGGATTAAAAAAAAATACGCAGAAAATATACGAGTATGTACAGAATTTTGCGTGAATACATTTTCCTGGATTTGCATTAGTATATACATACATGTAGATAGTATAAATGGTCGCGCACTGACGCCGTGAATATCTGGTCAACCGTCAGAACGCAGTGCCTGTCCCACATTTGTCGTCCACACTTGATATCAGCCATAGGCTTTGTTTTTAGACACACGACGCAAAGGAGCTGAATTCGATATTAGCGTAGATGTTGTAGGCCACCTATTGTTTTGATGGATGTTGTCTTGTGAAAGTGACCATTTTTTTCCAAAGATCAAATCACCTTTAGAGTTTTAAAGGTGCCTATATATTATGTGTGGTGCGAACTCCGGAAACTTAACCATTCTGTTTTGACTCTATTTTGCATCTAGTAAAATTCATGCGTAGGTATAAACAGTTATCGTTTATACAACTCTGTTATAATATATATATTCATTAATAATATAATATAATATAGATATATAAACACATTCATTGTCTGTAGGTAATTGACTACAAAATTGGAGGGTTATTTCCGTGTTCGAAAGTGCTGAGTAGTCGTCAGGGTGTATGCCCCGACACATCTCTCGGAGGCGTCAACTCATACCAGATTCTCACATTTAGCAAAAATGACGGTCTGACAACAATTATTTATCGCAGAGGCATCCTGCCACTCGGTAAGATAATATTGGATAATGGTAGTGCGCACTACTTAAATACAGTCAGGAGTTTTCATGGGCTTGGTATAGTTCGAATATAACACGAATTACTCACATACAGGAAGAGCTAAAGATTAGACCTAAACTATTCTAACATACGTTTGTATACTTAAAATGTTTCCTGAGGTTTCTATAAACACAATCAATCTAATTGCGCACTGAATAAGCACCATTGGATAGTTCTCTTTGAAGATGTTTTCTTCGGTGAGAAAAATCACGCACTTAATTAAGAGACACGCCGACACCATTTAATGGCAATTTTATCTAATTTATAATTTGACCTCAGTACGTGTATCAGATCTACAAACTGACTATTGCAGACAGACATACAAACAACTTACGAACAGAAGCCGTTATAGGCAAATGATCCAATCTTTAGCACCTGGATGTCTAGAGCTATTAGCTATTGAGATCTTATTACACACATGTAATTAGTTTCGACTTCATTATTACGATACATTATTCTCAGATGATGCCAGCGACCGCGTCTATGATATATCTCGACCAATGCCCATTGTATGGGCCATTGGTCGGTTGAACCATAAAAAGGAACCATTATTCCATCATCTGTATCCGCGAGGCGATGTCTTCGTCCATTTCGGATCGAAAACGAAGGTGGACTCATGTACCGACTTTATAAAAGGTTGGCCACTAGGCCAACAGCGCGGATCTGATGCACAATCAATTCAGTCATGGGGACCATTCAAAATTGTGGGGAACACCGTTACCCAATTCATCGCGAGAATTGGACCTTCGGGAGGTACAAAGGGATATTCTGGAATCACAGGTAAATTTATTAGCATCGCCGTAGGATCAATATTTCAATTTATTATTCGGCTAAACAATGAGCAACACAGTACGATTTGGTTTATTGTCGAAATTCTTAAAGTTAACTGTTTTACGAAGATTGCTTTTTTGTCAACGTGCAGATGTCTTTAGTTGCTTAGGGTTTCATAGTCGGTAGACAGTCCGATTCCAAAGCTTATTTTATTATTACAGGCCTTCCGTCACCTGGAGTATCATGGTACATAAATGGCCTGCTTGCTCCAGCCCTTTACCTAAAGCGAGGTCGAACTTACACCTTCAAGGTATTAACGCGATCTATGCCAATGATTCGGTTATTAACGACTAAAATAGTTTTGGAAACCCTACTAGTTTTCAGGTGTAGGGAATGCAATACCGACAAACTTTCAAGTATTGATGGACGAATGACGTTCCGAGTTGCCGATATGCTGCTAAAGACTGTTATATTCGGAGCGGGTTGACAGCAGAGCCTCTAACAACCACGATAATTTCCTTACTTTTTCGTTTTTAATTTACAAACTTGTTTTTTTCGATGTATCTATGTTGACCTAACACTTACATCTGCATGTAACGTACTTCTTAAGTGTTGCTCTTTATATGTATGCATACGTAAAAATATTTTTTGTTTATATTTAAGGTTGAGGGAGGTGATAATCCCCATAATGGGCGCTACTATCATCCGTTCTATATAACCGATTCGCAGTATGGCGGTTTTGCTCAGCTATCGAGCGTTGAACAAAAAGATGCTAAGATATACGCTGGGGTCACATTCAACCGACAGGGCAAACCACAGGCTAATACCGGTAAGAGTCTTATTATCTCTTGCTTTTATCAACTCGCAATCTAAACCACGCAAGGAGGTACACCTGAGCATCTGTTAGGGTCAATTCAGCTTACATATATATACGTATATATGTAAGCTGAGTACCCCGGCTATATATATATATATATATATATATATATATATAGCCGGGGTACTCAGCTTACATATAGACGTATATGTATGTATGTAAAACTACAAGCTGAACTGACCCTAACAGATGTATATTTTTATTTATAT